TCGCCAGGGCGGAACGGCTGGTAGCCTCACCAGAGGTTATAACCTCCACTCCTCCATGAACATTGAAGAGAATGATAATGACAATAGCAATAGGATCTAAATGACAATAAGTACAACAACGAATGAATCAATGGCAATACGAGTTCCACTTGCCCTTGCGTCTGGAAGAAGATTCTTTGCACGGTTCGGCAGGGTTGGAAAACTTCTATCATGATGTTTAGATGTCTACCATAAAGGTACACCCTACGAACAACAATAATGACCATAAGTATGACAGAAAATATGACGGTATCAATACGTAGTACCAGTAGTATTCGGTGTTACGATGTAATACATCACAGTAAGGCTCCTTTGGGGATCCCATAACCTTTCCTGCCCAACACTCATCAAAAAAAAATCCGAAGAAGCCACTGGAAAAAAAAAAAAAACTTACCAAGCGCTGTTCAACGCCGTTTTGAGAAACTTTTTGAACCCTTTCAAAAGCCCTTACAAAGGAGACTCTAGACCCTAAACCTCAAGCCCTGAACTGCACACCCAAAACCCCAATTAAGGCCCTAAACTCCTAAAATCCTCCAGCCCTAAGCCTGAACCACGAACCCCCTCGAACCCTAAAGCCACAAAAACCCCTCAAACCCTATAAACCCTTAAACTTAAACCCAACCCGCCTGCCGCTCCGTGGAGACCGGGTGGAGAAAGACTAGGTCGGCTCGCTCGCGGTAGGCGAGCCGGGAGGTCGGGTTGTGGCCGCCCTAGCAGTGGCTCAGATGAGGGCTTAGGGTTTGGGGTTTAGGGTTCCGGGCTTAGGGCCCTGAAACCAAAAACCCCTAAACACCAAGACCTTCAGAAGGTCTTTGCAGGGCTCCTTCGATGTCTGTAAGTGCTGTAGCGTCAGACATCTCAAGATTGCGGGGTTTCAGCAGATTACGACTTGCTCCAAGGACTACCCTAGCCCCAAATAACTGCTAGAAACCACAATGAGGAACCCAAAGGTAGGTTGGGGTCATGGTACGGTTTTCGGGTTTGGGGGTTTCCGGCTGTCTAAGATGCTGTCTCATACTCCAGTGTTGGGTTTACGGAGGGGCAGCTCACTCCCTTACACATAAGCGGCCATCGCAAAAAAAAATTGGTTACAAAGTCGACATCGAGGACCAGAAGACTTGCAGCTTCAGCTTGCAGATTGCTCGCGAAGCCCCTCTCAAAGCCTGCATCTGGAAGCAGCAAACTCTGACACCCTGAGCCCGGAACCATAAAGGCCCTGAAACGATGCTACGGTGCAACATCCGGCCTTGCCTATGGCCGCGTAGTTCGGACTTGCCAGGGCCTCGAAATGAAAGGAAGGACTTTGGGCACCGTAACTATGATTTCATGAAACAAGGCGCAAAGGTTGTGGCATTGTATTGATTGTTCATGCCGCCACTGTACGTAATGTTTTTTGTGCGGTTGCTCCTCGCAAAAGTTCCACGAATTCTATCCATCCGCACCTCTCAGGCTCTCAACACCACCCCATGAATCCACGGGCACTCCACAATGTGGTGGGAGCACGACTGGCTTGCCAGCTCGCACAACGCAGGGAGGAGGGACCCTAAATGTGCGGGAGTGTGCAAACGCAAAGAGCAGTTGCTGTCAAAGTGGGTGTGGCACTGCGGCGGACGCGATTTATGCCTGGGCACGCACAGGACTGTGCACGCCCCAAACGATGACCGCACTGTGCCAGGAGCACAATGTCGGATTTGGCCAACATACTAAACCCTTTCGGGCGGATGACCTTTGGGGGTCACAACAAAGTGCTGGAATGGAACATACATGTGTGTTGCAGCACACACACACACATGTGTAGCACCACCTCCGTGCAATGGGCGACACGTGCATTTTGGCAGTGCTTTCGTTTCGCATGTCCGGACGATAAGGATAACGTTGACGGCCATGAAGATGAAGTTGACGCAGATTGGGGTGGTGGCTTCGGTGATGCTGCTCATGGTGCCAAACTGAGGATGGTAGTTGTCGCGGTGGTGATGATGACCAGATCCAAAGCACGCTGCTACTGCTGCTATTACTACCACCACCACCACCACCACCACCACCACCACCACCACCACTACGCCGTCGAGGTCTACCACCACGACAACGACTGCCTCTGTTACTAGTGCTGCACGCTATTGCCACTGCTACTTCTGCGACAGCGCTCCTGGTCTGCTAAGAGGAGGAGCACGGCGCAGGCTTCCGCCTGCGTGGCACCGCTTTCGAGCTGAGTTGGCGTCGTTCCCTAAAGCGCCCTAGGGGGCCTCGATGGGTTTGTGCTGGGTGGGGGGGGGTGCATACATATACTTATCTTGATATTTATGCATACATACGGGGCATGCTGATGTAAAAATGCATGGATGATATTTGTGCTCCATGACTACATGGGGGGGATGTTTTAAGATAGATAGGCGCCTGTACTGCAAGGAGAAGCCGCGAGTCTCCTCTATTCTTTTTGTAAGTGCCTGAGACCGGGTATAGGGCTTAGGGTTTTGGGTTTGTGGGCGAGCCTGGAAGGGGAGATATCTCTCCTCACACCATACCTTGTACCAAAGCCTGCCACGACCTTACAAGCATCTGAGGGCCATAAACCCCCAAAAAAAGGTACCAGGTTTCAGGGTTCAAGGTGCGGATCGCCGCGTTTCAGGACGAGGTCTGGGGATACCAGGCCTCCTCGTCCCGGAGGTCTAGAAGAGCGCGACTTAGCTCCTCCCAGGGCGTGTCAGGCTGTTGCTTTGGGGCTTAAGGTTTCTAGGATGAGGGTTTAGAGTTTGAGGATCAGGGAGGCTTAGGGTTCGGGCCCTGAACCCTAAATTCTAAACCCTTAACTGGAGGTTCATCGGTAGTTATAAGTAGGGTTATACGTCCCCTCATATGAGTTGTAAGTATAGTTACCCTACTTATAAACCCACTAATAACTACCCATGAACCTCCAAGTAGGCTTTCTAGGACGAAGAGGAAGGATGCTGTCGGCTGGCAACGGGGCTTTGAGTGGGCACGCTTCAAGCGGGTTCCAAAGGAAAACCCCCGAAAGCACCATACTGAAGGGGCCGCAATAAATAGAAGAGGGTTTTGGGTATATTACTAATATACTATAAATAGAATAATCAACTTAAAGAACCTCAAGAATAGTATTGTTGATTATTTAAGCCACTATATAATCCTTCCAGGTACTGCCTGCCTTTGTCTCTCCTCCTCAAGACCCAGAAGTTCGGCGAGGCCACCGACGACTGCCTTGAAGTTGAAAAGAAACGAGCAGGGCCTACTTGCCGAAACTGCCCGGGTTCCTTGGCCAACCACAAACTCTCTAAGACATAGAGGTCGGACTAGCAATATGCCCTTGCCGTCCCTATGTAATTCTACCTTACTTGTGTCTCAAAACCCTCGTCTAACATTAAGGATCCCAGATGGCCGCTGCAGGCAGCAGAACCAGAAGGCATGAGAGGCGGTGGCCCTCCTCTAGTAGGGTGGTGTAGGGCTTAGGGTTTAGGGTTTAGGGCTTAGGGTTTAGGGTTTAGGGTCTAGGGTCTAGGGCTTAAGGTTTAGGGTTTAGGGCTTCAGGTTCAGGATCCAAGGCTTACTCGAGCGGAAATGCAAGCTCTGCAGGCCGGCAATGCGGGAATCAAGTTTCTGAAGCGAGAGTGATGACACAGCTGCACCACTTCGCCGTCAGAAATAGTAAATATGTATCTGTATGTGTATATTATATATATATATATATGTATATAGAAAGCGAGCACCACTACGAAGCCAGGGGACCCCGAAGTTGCCCAGTAACTCGCGGGGCACAGCCCCGATTTGAGGCGGCTCCAGCAAGGCTTCGTCGGCGAGGTGAGTGCTTGGCCCTGCGCATGGCGAAGGCACTGGGGTTCGGAGACGGCTGTTTATTTTAGCGCCTTTTTCCGCCTAGCAGTTAAGGAGACGGTTTAGGGTTTAGAGCTTCTAGGGCTTAGGGTTCAGGGTTTAGGGGAAATTGCAGCTCTGCTGCGCATCCGCTTGATGATACGACCGAAAAGCCTGTACAAGCTGAGAATGCAGACAATGCAGGAGACTCTCCGTAATGAAACACTCGAGCAACACGACAAGGTCTGACTGCTTCATGCACCAAGCAACACTGGAACCCAAACGCCCTAAGGCCCAAAGCCGACAAACTCAAACCCAAAACCCAATATCAGCCCAAGCCCCACAGCTCCTGCAAACAGCAGCAGCCCAAGAAGCCAACGCCCCATGCTGCCGCACATGGCAAGTCAGCTCCAAAGCGTTACGGGGCTCTTTTTTTGGGGGGGGCTCGCTACCCTGGGCTCAAATGGGTAGATTAGGGCTGTAGTCTGTTTTGAAGGTTGGGTTTAGAGTTTAAGTTCAGGGTTTAGGGTTTAGGGAACCTAACAGCCTAGCCACCAAAAAAAGCTGGAGAGTACTGCACCTGCCGATCCGGAATTGAAATCCATGAGGGACTGCGGCACTCCGGCCCCGCCATACATGGCTGCGCAAAAACTGCGATTAAGGAAGACCAGAGCGTATGTCTCACCAGCTAAGGCAATAGAACTTGAAGCTCCGCCCTTTACAGGAAACTGAGCAGGTAGAACAGGATTGCTCGGCATGAAAATGATGCGTAATTCTGTGGGAGCTACAAACGAATACTACAGCGAATTACTCAGACCCCAAAGTAAACCCTATGAGTTTTCATAAAACCATAAGAGCATTGGCAGCATTGGAATTACAAGGGCGAATGATTTCTACTTGCTCAAGCTTCGACATTATGCTCGGGTTCTCTGACAAGCGGCCATGTGAATTCTGAGAAAAAAAGCGTCGTCGGTTTTCCCTGCCCTCTGTTCTAGAACATGTTGGTATGAGGATTCTATGAGGGCACAGAGGTTTTTTTTACGATTCGTAAGGCTGGCATTTTCAAGACTCAAAGCCGCAACGACACATCTGAACCTCGGCTAACCCCTCGTCTCCTGGGCACGTCCGAGGTCCCCTGCTGGTGGCTTGCCGGGCCGCTGGAATCGCTACCCTGAGCAGCTCAGGTTTATGCTAAAGCCTAGAACATGGGACTTTGCAAGGAGGGTCATAACACAGGGGCCTTAATAATTAGAATAGGGTTTTGGGGCCCATTATGCTATAGTTACAATAAGGAACCCCACAATATTATGGGTAATTATTAGAGTCCCTGCATTAAGCACCTGTATTGGGGTTACAAGTATAGTTATAAGTAGAGTCACCCTAGTTAAATTAAACTCTAAGCCTAGTTACTAAGTCCCATGATCCTTCAAATAGACCCTCTACCGAAACAGGCCTGAACCGCGCCTAATCTTCGGTCTGAGCCAGATTCTGCGCTCAACAGAAACTCTACAACCATAGCGACCTGAACGAACCCTTATACAAACCCCTATACGGAAACCGTATAAAAATCTTTGCGGAGGCCTGCCAGGACCAAGAGAACCACCATTGAAGCAAAAAAAAACTCGAGCGTGCCCTTCTAGAACTTCCTATGGCCAATGTAAGCCACCGGCGCGCGCGGTTCGACGGCCTGAGCCAGGTTTAGGGAGAAACTCCACGACACTACGGCTTCAGGGCTTCGGGGCTTTCAGGGTTTAGGGGTCAGGACTTTGGGCTTTTGGCTTCAAGTGTTTCGGTTTTGGGGCTACTGCTGCTATACAATTTGGTGTGTAGGTTTCAAGGTTTCGGGTTTAGGTGTAAGGTTTCAGATTTTTGTATGAAAGGCTTTCAAGACTTCGTGGGTCGGTAAGGTTGCGAATGATATGCGAACCTTGTCTCTGCTTCTGCCATGCACCAGAATGCAAAGTTATTCGAACTGTAACGCCGGCGCGGCTGGGTTCTGCAGAAACGGGACGGGGGCGTGGCGCTTATGCTTTCTTGGCTCGGCCACGACGACCCACAATAAGACCCAAGAAGTAAACAGCCGAAGTGGAACCTTGAAGCACGAAGCCCCCTTAGATTCACTCCTTCAGCCTTCTGGTACCTCATCTTTATCGAGAACTCATTTTTTAGCTGGCTGTTTAGCTATCAATCCATCCATCCATCAATCAATCAAGCTAGCTGGCTAGCTCACTCGCTCTCAGACTCGCTCTCTGTCGCTATCTCTCTCCCTCTCTCTCTCTCTCTCTCTCTTTGCGGCTCTCTCTCAGTGCCCGCCTTGGGCATCTCTTCGCGTGCCTGCGTACCTGACAGCCGGGTGATAAAAGCATGAAAGTCGTCGGCCCCTGAAATTCTCACGCCAAAGAGCCCCAATCCATAGTCTTAGAGCTTTCAAAGTGGGGCTTCCGCAATGAAAAACCGGCAGCTCAAAGGTTTCCACCATCAAGCGGGCATTCAAAGATCCCTGAGAATCTACCGCAGGGGTCCATGGGACACCTCAACTTTGAGTTCTCGATGCCTTGGAAGGCTTCGGGTCCAGAGCTGCAGGGGTTTCGGGTGTAGGACTTGAGGGGAGAGAAGGGTTTAGGGTTTAGGGTGCTCAGAAATACCAGAGGAATCTCTGAGATTCAGGCGTGCGCCGCCCCCAGAAACCTGCAAGCGGGCAGCATAGTTTTGCAGGCTGTGGGGTGTGCGATTCTCGAAAGAGTTTTGGGCGGGGGGATCTCCGCTTGAGGGCTTGGGCTTTGTGGTTTTGGAATAGCTTCTGGTTTAAACTGCCCACGGGTTGCAAATACGGCATTCAAGGCAAGGCCGTCCGACTTGGCATGACATTGGCAATTCGCACCCCAGAGCCGCTTTGAAACAGTTTCTAAGTACGAGGTCCCTCGTCTACTACCTTAGGCGGCATGACGCCACATTTCCACTGTCCGCCGGTCTCGGGGGGTGGGCTTTGAAAGCCACCGGAAAACTTGGCAACTCCATGGGAAATCACTTCCAGAAAGCACCTGTGTCGAGCTCCCAGAACTTCGCACCCAGCGGGCCCATAGCTTCTTTCAGCTTCTCTAGTTCTGCCGCAGGGCCCATGACAGACAAGTCCAATCCGCTTGGACCAACTATGCCGACGGCGGCATCAAGAGCTTCCTTGACGTCGCCCAAGTGTGCGAGAACGCCGGCGGCACTTTTGTAGCCCTCGCGACAGAAAACTTTGTTCTCGTGCACACAGAAGCCGTAGTAGATGCACTCGCTTGTTCCAGCCCTTGTGCCTTCGTAGAACTTAGGGAACCCGGCTTTGAACTCTTCCATCTTGCCCTCTGGCACCGTGAAGTATGGCACGATGGTCACATGGGTGTCCTGCTCGGTGAGGCCACCTCGAAACATGCTGCCACCGTCCAGCTCCCAGAACTTCGCACCCAACGGGCCCATAGCTTCTTTGAGCTTCGCTAGCTCGGCGGCAGGGCCCATGACGGACAAGTCCAATCCGCTTGGGCCAACTATGCCGACGGCGGCATCAAGAGCTTCCTTGACGTCGCCCAAGTGTGCGAGAACGCCGGCGGCACTTTTGTAGCCCTCGCGACAGAAGACCTTGTTCTCGTGGCCACAGAAGCCGTAGTAGTGGCATTCACTTGTACCGGCTTTCGTGCCCGCATAGAACTTTGGGAACCCAGCTTTGAACTCGTCCATCTTGCCATCAGGCACTGTGAAGTACGGCACGACGGTCACATGCCTCAAGTTCGGTTGGCTTTTGCCCAAACTGACAACCGAACAAAGCTTCAGTGCAGATGCTAGTACTTTACAACCGTAAAACTCTTACAAGGCGCCCGTTGCAGCAGTAGGAGCTACGACGAAAAAACTGAAACGCATCGGCGAGCTTCGTTCCCTACACCCGAAGTCCTAAAATTCAGTGTCTGGGCACCCAGCTATGGGTGGGAACGGCCCAGGAGCCCGGGCGTGAGTCCCGGGTTTAGAGCTTAGGGTTTTCGGGATTTCCAAAAAACTTCACAAAGGCCTGAAAGCCAGATGCAGCGCCGGGTCAAATCTCGGGAACCCTTCAGCTGACCCCGGACCGGGCTCTCAAACATCCCATGACCACTCGCTGAAGCCATAAAAAATGAAAAGGGCATATAATGTGTAAATCGTTGCGTATGTCTAATATCATCTCATACATGTGTGTGTGTATATATATATATATATATATGCTTCATTCTGCACGCTATGCAATTTGTGCTATAGAATACATCAGATATAATGCATACTACACAAAACATACAAACAAAGATATATAGTGCGGGCATGAATGGCTGCAGAGCCGCGAGTCACTCTCCATGGCTCTGCCTTCGACTTTGATGCCCTGCCTAGGGCCAGGAGAAGAAACGCTGCAAAAGCGCGAGCGCAAATCGCAGGGCAGCAGGGTGGGTTTAGAAGTTCAGAGTTTAGGGTTTTAGAGTGTAGGGTTCAGGGAGTTCGGGTTTAGTATGGGTCAGGGTTTAGGATTGACGCTTCGGGGTTGTTGGGCTTAGGGTGTAGGGGGGTTCTGGGCTTTGAAATTGCAGCTGCGAGGGTTTCAATGGTAAACATACCGGCCCCTCTATCATCGTATACCCATAGAAAGGAGCCCGAAGGAATATGTTTCCGTAGTTATTCAGGCTTGTAATGTCTTGAATATGAACCCTTGACCCTAGACCCGAAGCCGTCATTCCCTGAATGTCTGCCCGAAGTGGCGGCGCTTCTTTTCAGAAACTCCCCCCTTCGAAAGACAAGTGGCATGTAGGATTTGGGGTTTAGGTAACAACACAGACATATTCCAAGAATCCTCCACAAATCCGAAACCGAACAGCCTCTCTTGTCCATGAACGCATAGGAAGAAGTTGGGCTGAGACCCTAAACCCTTCTAAACCCTAAACCCTACACCCTTACCCAATTTAAACCCTGAACCCTCAACCCTGGACCTTTCTTTTCAACCTAATCCCCGAGCCATCGGATCGGGATCAGATGCACAGTCGGGGCTTAATAATTACCCATACTGTTTTGGGGGTTCCTTATGATAAGTATGGTATAGTGGGCCCCCAAAACCCTCTAATTATTAAGGCCTGTATATTAAAATTCGAGATCCTGCAGGGCCGAGCCGAGAAGCCCCAAAAACCCAGGAGAGAAATGACTCCGTCGAGCCCGGAGCCCCTAAAACAAGGGCGCCTTCACAAAAAGAGTAGGGTTTTGGGGGCACGCTATACTATACTTAGAATAAGGAAACCCCCAAAATAGTATTAGTATAAGTAGTTATTAATGCCCTAAACCCTAAACCCTAAACCCTAAACCGTTATTAAGGCCCCTACAATAACCCGCTCCCTGCCCAAAGACGGACCTGTGGGAGGTCGCCCGTCGGCGACGGCGAGGATGGCGAGAGGGTCCGCTCGTGAAGAGCCTTCTCCTGAGCCGAAATTTAGGGCTTAGGGTTTAGGGTTTAAAGTTCCTAGGTTTTGGGTTTAGGGTTTAGGGTTTAGGGCTTGGGGTTTCGGGTTTTGTCGACAAAGGATGACCATGGGCTTTAAAGTTTTTGGCTTAGCATGTGTTGTGCGGGTCTGAGTCTTTAGATGATGTAACTGACTGATTTGGATACCTAGTTCTTGATTTAGTTGCTTGTTTCTACAATGTGACAGTAGTAGTGCTGATCACCACCACCCGCACCATCATCATTATCGGTATCATCATCCTCAACAGCCTAACCGTCACCGTCATGGCAAAACATCTCATACGCTTTGCCAAATTGAACACGAATGTCACTTTGTAAAATGCTGATAGGTATTATGTTGACAGGACCCCGATCAAAACCACTAATAAGAATCATTCACTCATACCAACGATAGTAACCCGCCAGCATAACAGTAGGATGTAACACTCTTCTTAGTGGCGATAACCAAAACACGGGTGGTCAAAAAAACAACAATGCCAAATATGGTTGCAGTATGACTGTAACATTAATGATAGCAGCAATAAGCAAGAAAAAACGAACACATCCGCAAGCATGAACGGCATCAAGCTCAGGATCATGACGCCAGGTCAAACGGAGCTGAGGGCTCCAGGTTTGGGCTGATTTTCAGCTATGGGCACGATCTCATTTGAAGCACCATGGGCTAGAAATAAGGCTTCAATATATGTATCGGACTAGTTGTTCGCGTATACCATACTGCAACTATGATGAAAAATCCAAAGAATCCTGATACTCGTCGCTCCGGCCCTACAGTACTTACTCGAGACACGGAGGAAGTGATGCCGACATAGCGTTCGGGATTCTTGAGGTTACGGATTCATCCGCTTGAGAGGACCACTCATACTGACACTAACAGTCCTGAATAGTTGGAATACTTATACAGGAACTCTGGATATTGTTATTAAGTACTCCGACCCCTATAGCACTCTCCAAGGACTCTCTGGTCGATAAACACTCAAACTGTCTTTCGTAATATGCAAGACTCGGTTGTAGCTTCGGGGGCCCCAGAAGTATTGATGAATAGGTAACTCTATAGGAACCATAAGGAAAATTTTGAAGCTCCCAAATTTTCAGCTGGAAGACAGCAACTCGAAAGAGCTCAGGCTTTCCGTTTTGTTTAGGGTGTAGGGTCTAGGGCCACACCGGCATTTTGCTGAGGGTTGCATCCAAAAGCTCACAGAGGCGCGTGAGCTCGACACCCGCCGTCCGGAAGTCGCGAAGCGCAAGCCGTGCCTCCAATCGCCTTTCCTTCGGAAGCTCAACCATTTTCTCAAAACGGCCGCAGACGGCACCGAGGTACGTTTCCGCAAAGACGCGGTTGGCTGGGATTCCCAAAGCTGCCATGCGCCCACGGAGGTCGGAGATCTGCTGTAATGGAGCCGCGCGGTGAGCTCCAACAAGGTTGGCAAAGGTCACGACCGTCGGCTCTAGACTTCGTGTTAACATGGTATCGAAGAGGAACATGGCGGCCTCATGACGACGACTGTGCTTCGCATTCTTGCAAGCATTTATAGCGGAGTTGAAGTTGATGATATTGGTCTCCAGCCTGCGCCTCTCCATGTCGTCAAGCACTGCCACCGCCTCGGTCATGTTACCCATCTCCGCAGCCGCATCAACACGCGCACCTGCAATGATCTTGTTCACCAGGCCCCTCTCCTCTGCCTCCCGCCAGATCTCAAGCACGCGCCCTTGGTCAAGTAGCTTTCCATAAGTTTTTATTCCCAGGTGTAACGTCGCGGCATCCACCTTTGCCTTCGAATCGTTCCGCAGCTGGTCGTACATGCGCGAGGCTTCTTGGAAGTGGCCACACCTGTGAGCTGCTTGCATGGCAGCGGAAAATACCGGCACAGCCTGCCCTGAGTAGCCACGCCAAAGTCGTGCTGCTTGAATCCAGTCACCTCTCTGCCCGGCCTCCACCAAGCTTGTTATCAGCTTTTTCTCATCTGTCGTGATGTCTTTCAATGGCTCAGTCTGTCGTATTGGGGCACTGGCACTGGACCCTTCACGTTCACGGAATGCCCCAATCGCTTGCTTGGGCAATGAAAAGCCGACATCAAGCAGCCAGAAAGCAAACCCCCCGGTCATAGCAAAGAGGAGAACAGGCCAGCACCAAACTGTCTTGGAGGGCACCACCATGCTGCCAGGCCGCTGTTTGCACTTCTTGGGTGGCGAGCGAATGTTTCCGGCATGTGGGGCTGAGCGAGTTTGCAGGAGATCTACGAGACGAGGCAGTAGTCTCTCAAAAGTGAATGATACTTGGGGGTCTCTTGTGACTCAGGTTTCCGGCACTTTGGGGTTGAGGGATGTGCCCTCTTGTTTGCAGGCTCTGAACCAGATGCTGCTGAGCAGTCGCAGCGTGGAGCTGCTGTATTGCCCTGAAGCCCTTGAGCATATCTCGTAGGACAAAACCATACGATGTATAACAATATGCCGGCATATAGTATCAGCAGCATTTCCCAATCTGAAGCATGAACACAAGAAGCCGAGACACTCCCGGTGTCGTCGAGCGAACAAACCTGAGCAGGGGAGGTCGACGTATGGAGTTTGATGGAAGCTCTCACGCCGCATGGCACCTGGAAGACACGGGGATGCACTCGTACCTGCAACCAATACTGCCTCAAGTCGAGGCCTGATCTGTCTTGCAATTGTGCATGCCTTGCTGGGCATGCGCGTCCAAGCCAGTCGCGAGTGCGATGTTGACATGGCAGTGCAATCCTAAAACCCCTGCTATACGACGTGGTACCTTCTTGCTTCATGATACATCCCTAAATCCCAAACCTTACAGCCATAAAGCCCCAAAGCCCAAATCCTAAACACCCTAAACCGGAGTAAGGCTCGAGGGAACTCTAAGAAACTCCGAAAGTCTGCACAAGCTTGGTCGCCGCAAGCTCAGCACCCGACCCGTGCCCGCCGGGTGTGGAAGTGAGGCCGTCCCCACCCTGATCAGCCATAATATAAGCATGTGTATGTATGTATGTATGTATGCATGTATACATATATATGTATATATGTTATACCTATGTACACATACATACGTAATACTATATAGTATAGTGTAATGAAAGATGGTACCATAATATTTCGTAACGTGATGTACGATGATAGGATCTAAGATCATATAACCCAATACACCGTGGCTACTCTGACTTTACTGAACTAAAAACAATGGTCGCTTGGTGGTGATGGTGGTCCTGGTGGTAGCCGTCGTAGTAGCAGTAGTAGTCGTCATCGTGGTAGTGGTGGTCTGTGGCAGCGGCAGTAGCAGTGGTAGTGGTAGCGGTATTGGTAAGTATAGCAGCAGCAGCAGCAGGAGGAGGAGGAGGAGGAGGAGGAGCAGTAGTAGTAGTAGCAGCAGCAGCAGTATATAGTAGTAAATTGCTGCTGGTACATGTCTCTCGCTAGTCCCACTGCAACCAAAGATAAGGCGCCCTGCTGGGAGCTCGGCACGGGTCCCCGGGCGCGTAAGGCGGCCCTGGCGAGTAAAGTGGAGGTTGCAGGGATGAGGGTTGAGGCTTTAGGATTCATGTTAAGGGTTTTGTTACGGGCTCATGGCTTCGGTATGGGGTGCTGGAGCCCCGTGAGTAGGGTTTAGGGCCCCCAGAGATGGGCTCTTCTTCCATCCGAGGGAAGGTCGAAAACCCATGAAAATCGGGGGAGCCTTGGCAGCCAAGCCCTTTCAGGCTCGGGCTTCAGGTTTGTCAATCGAGTTGTAGGATATGAGGCCTTTATGGACGAATCCCTGACTGCCGATCTTTCAGAGTTGCGCGTCATGTGGCTTTTCTGCTGCTCGAGTTTGTTCGCGACTTCGAGAACATGCAGCACAGACTGAGGGCCTGCAAGCTGGAAGGGAAAATGTCATGCAGGCAAAGAGGCTACCACATGTTCAAAAGAACGATCCTATGAAAAAAACCCAACCTGTGCGCGTGAAACCTAAGCCCGGCCTCGCATCATACACTTCAGAGCCCTAAACCACCGAATCGCTACATCGACTCCCAGATAGTTCCGCCTCCTCCCGTGAAGGAGTGCTTCCAGGAATCCGTGGAACCCAAACCCCCAACCAGTCGGAAGGCTCTAAGACAGCTCCAGCCCACAATTTCTGAATCCTGAAGTCCAAACCCTAAACTGGGTCCTCGTTCAGGGGTTAAATTTAAGTCACCACAACAATGAAACCGAATTATTTACTGTAGATCCCGATTATGGCAACTTGAACTAAAGTCCTCAACAAGAACCAAGGATCCCTATTATGGTAACTTGACTTAAAAACCTCAACAAAAACCAAGGAAACCCCTAAACCCTCAACTCCAAACCCTAAACCCCTAAACCCTAATCCCTAAACCCTAAACCCTCAACTCCGCCTGCGCCACGGTCCCCCGCCCCACTCTTTGGGCCGATGCCGAGGCGGAGCGCGGCCGAGGGCCTGGTAGAGAGGAGGGTATTGTATTATATTGTGTTGTATTCTGTTATAGTGTATTTGAATATGCGATATTATATCATGTTAAGTTAAATTTTTGTCTATTATGTTATTTTTATATCATGTTTGAGTATACTATATATTAGATATTAAGAAGGATTCTATTATAGATTCTTCTGCGAATTTAAGTTTTCGGGTTCAGGGGCTTAAGGCTTAGGGTTTAGGAGTTTAGGGTTTAGGAGTTGAGGATTTGAGCATTAAGGCTTGGGGTTCAGGGTTCAGGGTCTCGGATTTAGGGTTCGGCGTTGCCACAATAAATCTGGGGTTCATTGTAAGGGATTGTCCAGCTTCCTTTTCGGGTTGTAGCGTTCACGGAGTCGGGGCGCAGGACTGCAGTGTCGGGTTAAGGGTACTGGGGATGGGTTGAAGGGTTGGAGATGGCTTAAAGGTTTGGTCAACGGCGTTGAGGCTATGTTCATCACATTTGATGTTCAAGGCGGTTGTTGCTTGGGGCTCTGTGAGTTGTGCTGCAATCTGAAAACCTCCCGACATGCCGAATGCAACGTCTGGAATGTCGGGAAAAATTATCTGGGCCCCCTCGCAAGCCGGTTGGGTGGGGAGAGTATCTGAAGCTTTCGCTGCTGTAGTACATGGCACTTCCTTACAAAGCGCGCGTCATCGAGGTGGACTCAGGGTCCGAAACTCTGAAGGCAACAGCCTTAGTCTTCCTATTGCTTCTTTGCTGCTTCTTCTTCCTGTGATTCTGATTGGTGTTGATATGTGTTGCTTCTACAAAAAGATTGCCAATGGGTTTTGCCAGAGACGGCACTTGAAGCCCCCGCTGAAATAGTACATTGCGACTAAAGTCTCCCACGAAGAAAGCCTTGCACTTGCGATCAGCCTTGCGGCCCTTAACCAAACTTGCGAAGTCTCAAAGCCGCGCGCCTGCTTCCGGAGCCACCTCAGAAACCCACAGCCACAGTCAGCCCCGCAAGAGCGCACCGACGCAAAATTAGAAGACAAACAAGGAAACCGGAAGACTCGAGTGCGAATTAACTGCCTGGGCGAGACGAAGAAAAACACAGATCATAAAGACGAAAGTCTGCAAGACCAACGCCCAAGAAGACCACACGAGGAACAAGAAGAGGTGATGGTGATGATCGTCGTAATCGCAATAGAGGTAGTAGCAGTCGTCGTTATCGACGTCGTCGGAGTAGTAGTAGTAGTAGTAGTAGTAGTAGTAGTAGTAGTAGTAGTAGTAGTAGTAGTAGTAGTAGTAGTAGTAGTAGTAGTAGTAGTAGTAGTAGTAGTAGTAGTAGTAGTAGTAGTAGTAGTAGTAGTAGTAGTAGTAGTAGTAGTAGTAGTAGTAGTAGTAGTAGTAGTAGTAGTAGTAGTAGTAGTAGTAGTAGTAGTAGCAGTAGCAGTAGTAGTAGTAGTAGTAGTAGTAGTAGTAGTAGTAGTAGTAGTAGTAGTAGTAGTAGTAGTAGTAGTAGTAGTAGTAGTAGTAGTAGTGTAGTAGTAGTAGTAGTAGTAGTAGTAGTAGTAGTAGTAGTAGTAGTAGTAGTAGTAGTAGTAGTAGTAGTAGTAGTAGTAGTAGTGGGAGTAGAAGTAGGAGTAGTAGTAGTAGCAGTAGCAGTAGTAGTAGTAGTAGTGGTAGTAGTAGTAGTAGTAGTAGTAGTAGTAGACATAGTCATCGTAGGTGTCGTAATTGTAGTCGTAGTATTAGTCGTAGTAGTAGTAGTAGTAGTGGTAGTAGTAGTAGTAGTAGTAATAGAAGTAGTAGTAATAGAAGCAGTAGTAGTAGTAGTAATAATAATAATAGTAGTAGCAGTAGTAGCAGTAGTAGCAGTAGTAGCAGTAGCAGTAGCGGTCGTAGCAGCAGTAGTGGTAGCCGCAGCTGCAGCTTAGTGGCAGTAGCCGCAAGCATGCATCCTATGAGAAGGACCCCCAAGTAAGGCGAAGGCTGTTGTTTCGGGGGCCTCCGTGCCACCTGGCAGTGGTATCAGTGAGCAAAACGAGCAAAACCCGCCTCGACACCCATACCAACAAACAGCTCCACCCCGAGAGACCGAGGGTTTAGGGCTTGGAGTGCTTTAGGGCTTTAGGGTGTAGGGTTTACGCCGGACTTACATGAAAACCCGAACCCTCAAGTCCCCCAATGAATCGCGCATGGCATGGTGCCTGGACATGGATTGCTCTCTTTGCGTCGGACGACGGCCTGCGCTCGCGGGATCATGCCGACGCTTGGCTTCGGGTTCTGGCTTTCGGGGATTCGGAGCGGCAGATCTTAACGAAGCTGCGTATCAACACCCTTGGAAGACATGGAGATATATCTTCTTTTGTGAGGTTGACTAAGACGACGAAGCCACGGCCGACTAACAACAGTATCGGTCGTATCTTAAGAATCACTTGACTTTTGCTGATTCCGAAGCCAGATACCCTGAACCCTATCCTAAGCCCTGTGATACTCAAGCCTGAATAAAGAGCCATGAATCCCGAACCCCAAACACTCCAGGATTCAGGGTTTCGGGCTTAGAGTATACAGTTTAGGGTTTGGGTTTAGGCTTCAGCTTGAGGATTGGGTTTCGGGTGTATGGCCTGGGGAAAGCAAAAGCTCTCTGCCAACCCCGAACCACCACACCTACAGGCCGCCACTAGAGGCTGCAAGCCTCCTTGCCAGACTTGCGAACCGGCTTAAATGTTAAACCCTAAACCCCAACCCTAAACCCTAACTGACCCCAAACCCTAAACCAGTGGATCTAAAATTGTCTAGATATTCACTGCTTGGTCGGTTGGCTAAACAGGGATGCCTGTTTTGGGTAAGAGTTTGGGGTTCAGGGTTCATCTGTTCACGGCATTGGCTTGTCTGTTGTCTGTTTACTCAGGAGCCGTATGCTGTTGCGCATCCTTAAAAGACTTCTGGGTGCACAGCCGAAAAATCGAGCAGGGTCAGAGGCAAGGTGAGAAGCCAAAGTATCTAGTTGTGAAGGCCTTCCAAAACCCCGAACTTCAACCAGATGCAGAACCTCATAATTCATAACCATGCCCCAAAACCGGCTCCGATGTTTTTCCCAACGCTGTGATTCTGAGTTTCAGTCATGACGCCCTAGCAGGCGTACTGCTAGTTTATAGCTACCCAGGAGCCTGCCATCGAGCTTGACGATGTACAGCCAGATGAACACAAATCAGAAAAAGGAAACATCGCAGAAATTAACACAAAGGGCATCCCGGATGCGAGACAGGGTTACTGAAGAGAGCCCGGAAGCACAAGTTCTTGGCGACCCACCGGCTGCTGCGATGGTAGGTTCACTCCCTCAGATGAGGACACGCAAGTGGAAGTTTCTCGCGGACAAGGCGCTTAACAAGACGGAGTTCTGATCTCAATCGAAGCAACTTGATTTCTGCCCCAACCTAGACCCTAAATAAAATCTACATCCGCCAAAAACAAAACCGACTCTAAACCCCGCATAAATCCCGAAGTCAAACCCTTTCAAGGGGAGGGCTTGGGCCCGGGCAGTGCCACCCACCGAGATTACCTTCGCGCCTGACGTGGCAAGAGAGAGGAGGCTGGGGGCTCCCTAATCATGACCGTGGAATTGGTAGTTTTGTCAGGGTAAATAACTTACATGTCCGTTTATGCATCATCTAATCTCGTGTATGTATATACATATATATATATACCTACAGATTAGACTTTCAACAAATTTTGCCCCTGCTTCAAACCTCAATGCGCCCTGCTCCAAGCTCCGGATTTCAGGCTCGACTCCCGCCTCCTTGGCCTCGGAACCTCGGCGGGCTCGGCTTCAGACTGACGAGCCCCACTCGGGAGAGTGGCGGTTCAGGGCTTCGAGTTTAGGGCTTCAGAGCTTAGGGTTTTGGGTTTTGGGTTTTAAGGCTTCAGAGTTTAGGATTTGGTAATGAGCCTCAGAGTTGTGAAGTATTCTACATGCAAACATGCAGTGCATTGCTGCTCGGCTTAGTTCGTTGTGTAATGCAGTGTGCTTGGCCATGCTTTGACCGAGACGCCTGCGCCACGCTTTGCCTGATTTGAAATTTGCGTGGTCTGTGCGAAATCACCTCGACCTCGACTTTGGACGTTGGAGACGTGATGCGTTAAAGGCACTCTTGACGATTTCTGTTACACTCCGGCATTTTCAGGCCCTGTGTTTCGCGAGGCAAGGAGCCCGAACCCAGGGCCCAGCGTAATCTGAATTCAAACGCTCTTACTAAAGGGCTTTGGGGCTGAAAGGTTGAGAGGAAACGGATCTGAACCAGCTGCGTTGGGTTGCATTGAAAGTGACCACTGCGCAAGGATGCCGAGCGCGGATGCCGAGCCCTGGGATCCACCCAGTTCCTGAAAGTTCCCTGTACTTCTCGGACTTATCAACCAGGAACGGCTGATCGCACTAGCGACTGATCTCCTCGTCCCAGCACAGAGAAACCCTTCAACTTGCAAGCGCCGAAGATCCGAAGATCCCTGACAGCAGAAGGTCTCTCGGGCCGTCGGCGCAGGCCCCGTCGGCGCGGCCGCCCGGCCTGTGTAAGTCGGCCTAGCCAAGCAGCTGGGCTTCTTGAAGGATTTCGTAAGTCGGCCCTAGCTAAGCTTCGTGGCTCGTTTTGATGCCGAGTTTCGGGTTTGGCGTTGAGGAGCGCACAAAACAAGAAGGGAACCCTTAGACCCCGGCAGTGGGAATCCGACGCCTGAAACCGGAAACGAACTTCAAAGCTTTCGACTTCCTTGAGTTTTGCGCCGGAGCTGGTGCTCGCGAGGACCGCGAGGAAGAAGCGTTGCGACAGAGTTGGGTTTCGGATTTAAGGTTTTGGAATTTCAGGTTTTGGGTTTAGCCTGTTTAGCCTTTTGGGTTCCAATCGAACAGTTGCAGGGTGTGGGATTTCGGGCCGTCTAACACTCTGGCTGGATCACAAAAATTCTGGTTCAGAGCTTACCTGCAAAAGCCTGGACCTGAAGAGCAGCGCACACAAGGCTGAAGCCTGTAGATGTGTCAGATATGTCATTTGACATCAACAACCACCTTCAGTTCGCTACGAACTTTGAAAACGCCTGCCCGACCCCAACCGCTCAACCGAAGAATTGGAGAATCCACAGCCAGCGATCCTCAGCCCCGGTTCCTCACCAGCTTATGGGTTAAGGTTTAGAGTCCGAGCCTGAGCTCCCACATCCTGAATAGTCTGAAACCTTCAAGGCCCGAAAATGACCCGAAACAAGCGGAATCCCGAGAAGCTCAGACGACGGCCTCTTAGGCCAAGCCGTCGTGGTTGACTACTGGCCTGACAGTTCGGGTTTCAGGCTTCAACATGGAGATCGAGGGCTCCTGGCGGGTGATGGTGGGAGCTGCTCCGGGCTTAGCGTTCGAAGTTCGGATCTGAATCACAGGGTTTCTCAACCTTTGTCCGCCATCATGTTTTTTCACCATGGCCCCTCGGGTGAACTCGCCTGTGGCCCCACCGCCAGCACCCTGCAAGGTGCAGAAGGCAAACCATGTGGCGTCGTTTTCACGCTCACATGTCGGCACCCGCAAGAACCGAAGCTTAAAGAGCAAAAGCTCGCTTTTGGCTGGTAGGTTGAGGTTCCGGGGTCTGTCATGTGCAGCACAATGCAAAGAGGGTGTCTCCGTCTTTATCTTGGGGGATCTGTGCTGGGGTAACAGCGGCTGGAGCTCTACGACTATTTCTGAACTTTATCGTGAAGCCTGAATCCACGCTGCCCGTTTGAGCAGGAACGAAACCGCGGCGACAAGCAAAATGCGCCCTTCTCTGATCCACGTGCAAGCCCTAAGCTCCATCATCGAATACTATACAATACATCAGGTATGTGCGTGTATATATATATATATACTTTCACTTTCACTTTCGACGCTGCAAAGTACGGGTCTTTGCTACGATGAGGAGGACAGGGCCTAAATGCCCCGGCTTGGCTGTGCAGTAGGGCACATCCTCCACCCAACCCAGGAAGCAAAAGAGAGAAAAGAGGTCCCCGGTACGCATACCCAAAAGCGGGATCTCTTCATGGCCATGTGATTAACAGCGAACATAGAAGAACAAGTAGGTTTCACAACCCATAGTTTCAAGCTGCTCAGCACTGATTCGGGTGGCCTGACGTCCATCATCAGCCAGACGAACAGCTGGAGCATCAGTATGAGCATCATAAAGAAGAGTTTGGTAATGGCCGTGTGTGGGGGCTTCGCCCCGATGAGTCACCACTGAACTAAGGCGATACCGCACCTGGCAGCATTCCACGCTGGTGTTACAAACGAAACAAGGAAAGTCAATCTCCAAATCAGCCCGAATACGATAGTGCCGTTTAGCAGTGCGGTGGGTATCAGCCATAAAACTGAAGCGGTTAGCTTGCAGAACCAAAAATTGTGAGGCTATGACCATGGCATGGACCTGCTCCTGAATATGCCACTGATTGATCAAATCCTGGACTGAAACACAACAGCGGACACCCTCGCAATCAGTAGAGGGAGGCAGGAGCGTGATCGGGGCAGATTGGCCGCAGTCATCTATCCGGTAGGAGGCTTGGTTGCTTTTCCTAGCCTGCCACACACATTCGATGTTATCATTAAGCACCAACGAACTGCCACAGATATGCTCAAGAAACTCCGCAGCATCATGTTGTCTGGCAGGGTGTTGCCAACCTCGCACTATGGAAAGCCAAAGCGGGTGCTGCCACAAATGGACAACTGCCGCCTGAGAGCGACGGGCAATTGCCAGCAGGAACTGGTGATGCTGGCTTGCGAACACGGTAGACAGCGAGCCACTGTGACAAGCCATGTGAAGCAAAGCCTTAAGGACAGCATTCGAGTAGCAGAAGTTCTGAAGATTGCCAAGCTGCATCAGGCTTACTGTGATACCGCTGCAAGCCTTTTCGCTAAGGCACTCATTCGGAGGCGCTCGTGCCTCATGAAACAGCCCGCCGCCAGCCGTGTGGCTGATTGGCTCAGGCGATGTAACAGGTGCCAAAACTCCTCGGCCTCTTTTACTCGCGTGCCCACCTCCAAGAACATCCCCAGTGTGGGTGAGTCGTACTCTTCGGAGAGCTTCCTCATCCCGTGGAACCGCATGAGTACTCTGTCTTGTCGTGCAGAGTACCAACAGCCTTTGCAAGGCCTCCTTGATCTCCGTCTGGCTCAGAGCCTCGATGTGGTCGTCCCTGATGTGCTTCTTCAGCTTGGGGTCCCATCGGAGGGCCGGGATGTAGCCATCGCTTTCCTGAAGGAGACCTCGTTCTGCTGCCTGTGAGCGAGATGACGGGCTGGCAATCATGCGAAGGAACTTCGTCTGAACCACTTCGACAAAGTGCTGAAACATCACGACCCTCATCGGGTGGTTGAGCTGATCCGGAGTTTCCTGTTTCACCTTGTGCCACTGGACTCCCACTCCGTGCAAGGTGTGCGCCAAGCTCTGCTGCTCCTGCGTGTTGATGAACACCACGTAGGAGGTGTCCTGTTTGTGGAGGTTGAGCTGGATTTCCTGGCGTAGGACGAGGGACGTCAGCAAGCTCACTATGGCTTTCAGTTCCGCAAGCTGTTTGTTCTGTCGCTTCGTCAGCTCTCCGTCCGAGGTGTGAGCTGAGGGAGTCTGGTGCCACGGTGCCTGCTGCCAGTTCTTGTTGGGCCGCCGGTTGGCCCAGTCCTTGCCTCCCCAGGAGTTTGCGGAGGTCCATGCTTGGCTCCCCTTTGGTTGATTGCCCTTTCCTCTTCCGCGGTGCTGGCTTCCCTTGGGGCCTGGCTTTTGCCACTTGGGAGGGCGGTCGTCCAGGTCTTGGTCCGGGAACTCCTCCGGGTCGACATCCATCGTGAGCTGGTCCAAGTTCATTGCTGGTAGAAGAGATCGCAGGAAGTTGAGGTCCTGGGTCGCCGACTTCAGCTCGTCCGGGACTGGAAGTTCTCCTCGGTGTTCGAACATGTTCTCGAACATGTGGGGAGAGGACAGCCGCCCCAGGTTGTCCCGTATTTCCAGCCAGATCAAGAGCCCTACCTCGAGCAAGACGGCAATGAAGATACACTCCATTGAAGATGCCAATGCATGAGCGAAGGTGTGCATCTCTGCGGGAGAAAACAGCACCACAGAACTGGCAAGGGCTCACCACACTGATGTTGCTTTTCTGAATGTCACCGATGCACCGCTTAATAAGAGGTGCCCTTTCAGGATGCATAGCAAGCATGTGTCGACGAACATACTGGGGACGTACACTCCAGTGATTACACTCAATACAATGGTGGTGTTTACGTCGAACCAGCGGGAGTTGCGCCAGGTCTTGCCACTTGCAGTCTTTGGTTAAGGTGAGGATTTCAGCAGAGTCGATCAAAGCTTCGCTGAGAAGAGGCAGGATGGTGGTTTCGGGGTCAGGCTGATCATAAATGTAGCGCAGCATTTGGCAGCTTCGAGAACTAACATGGTAGAAGAACTCGTGCCAAGTCCCAAATGCATGTTTGCAGTGACGGCACTGGGGCATACCGTCGAGGGAGTGCACCATGCTGGGTTTGTTGCGTAATTCTCGTACTTCTTCAGTGCGGTCTTCTCTCTGTTGCTGATCAAAATGAGACTTGAACATGTGCCGTTTGAGCGCTGCCTGGGTTGTGAACTCCTGGCCACATACATCACAGCTGAAGGTTTCACTGAGGACATTGTCAACGCACATAAGCTTCGTACTGGATTGCATTGGTGGCTGTGCATTCCAGGCAGTGGACTCAGACTCAGCAACCTGCCCTCTCAGGAGGGCTCGCCATTGAAGTTGCTCCTCTGATGGTTGAAGACCTGGGCCCAGCAGTTGGTCATGCTGGTCTCGACGCTGTATGGAATCTCGCAGTCTGGTGACGGGGTCAGTCAGGCGGAGACGCTGAAGGAACTTCACGTTGGATTCCTTGGTGAGCATCGACTGTGAATTGGCTATGGCCCTGGCTTGCTTGATGAGCTCAACATGTAAAGTCTGATGATCACTGTGAGTCAGACCAGTACAGTCCAGACCATGTAGAGCAGCCGGCCATATGCAACCTTTCCAGAGCTGAAGTCGCAGATGCAGCGGAACAGACCGATTGCAAAGAATGGGCTTCAGCCTGGTGTAGGCATTCTTGGCAATTTGGAGCCGGTGTTTGAAGCTTTGGGCTTCGAACCTGCGGTAGCTGATTATCGATCCAAGGTACACGTGTTGTGTCACTATACGGATGAACACAGGCTTGCCCTCAATGATGAACTTCATATGCTGGCCTTTCTCCAGGTTTACCACGTATCTTGTCATCACACTGTTGGCCTGTGGACCACGAAGCTCTAACAGTACCACCGTCTTATCGAAGCTGATTTTGAGGCCAGAGCGAAGAAGGCCAGCAAGGACATGTTTGATCGCTGCATAGGCGTTTTCCATGTCCTTGCCACATCGGATGACCCACGCAAAGTGCTTGTCATCAGCATACACATTGCTGTCCTTGGGCACGTCCAGAGTGCCCGGTAGGTGGAGGTGCTGAAGGACAAAGCCGCTATACACAGCCCACAGCAGAGGAGAGAGTGAACATCCCTGCCTTAAGCCCCTTCGCAAACGGATGTAGGCAGCCTGGCCACCGTGACTGATCTTGATTTGGGCTTGCTCATGAATCAGAACAACAGCTTGTACAAGGGCCTGTGGCACTTGTGCAGCATTGAGGGACTGCTCCAAAGCCGTTCTGGGCACATGATCATATGCACAGGAGACATCAAGTGATAGTTGGCACCCGCCGTATAGCCTAAGGTCAAGGCGTCCTTGCCTCTTGGTGTACAGCGTAGGAGCATGTGTTTGTATGAGGTTTCGGACAGTGGCACAGTGTGCCACAGCCCGTTCCAAGCACTGCGACATAGTCCTGTTCTGCACATACGCGAACTGAGGAAGATCATGAAGAAAGCGTGTCACGTATTGCTGGAGACGGCCTGCCAGGATTGCCGCAATGAGCTTGGGCTGCAGCGGGAGGAGGCATATGGGCCTTAAGTGAGCCGGAGTGCTCAATGTTTTGTTTGGCTTGGGGATCAGGATGAGCTCACTGATATTCCAAGCTTCTGGCAGGGCTGTGCAACCTTTGGTGAGGATCTGGGCAAATTGTCGACAAAGAGGTCGAACAACATCAGGGCCGAAGAATTTCCACAGCATGGACGGTGCACTGCAAGAAGGCATGGCCTTGGTCGGCTGAATGCGCCGCATCGCCATGCTGACCTCCAGCTCAGAGAAGTGTAGGTCTTCTGGAAGAGCAGGCTGTTGGATCTCCTGTGGGGCATGATATAAGGCAGTGAAGTAGTCTTTGATTTGATCAAATTCTTCCTCGTGTGTCTGTAGGCTTCCATTTTCCCGGCGGAGCTGAAGTCTTCGCCGTGGGGCCTTCGGACCAAATCGTTTGGCTGCTTGAAACACATTGGAAGAGGCAACTACCTCTGCCACTGCAGCTGTTTTCCGGAGACGACATGCTTTGCGAAGGGCACGTGTGTGTTGTTGAAGTCTGGTGGCTAGGGCCCAAGCTCGAAAGGCATGTCGGGTCTCGGGGCCTTGGCGGCGCCACTCGTGGAGAGCACCACCTGCTTGTTGGAGTCGAGATCGAAGATTCCACATTTCCTGCACGCTCGTGGTTAGGGGTCCCTCCAAGTCCACCGTGGGAGATGGAGCCGGTGTTGCCTGGGCAGTGGACCAGTGGTGGGTCGAGGAGTTCCATCCTGCCAGCAGCATCTCATCAATAGACTCTAGTCCAGAGATCTCCTGCAGGTTATGAGCCGTGGCCTGATAGAGAAGCGGAGCAAAGCCCGGTTGGTGGAGTCGCTGCTTGACCTGGTAGGGTTTGAGTGGGGCACCAAAGGACACATGGGTCGGTCGACGAGGTCGTGGCAGGAAGACTTGGAGAGGACGATGTCGGCAGCCACTGCCTGGGACAAAGGGGGCATCCAGAGGGGCTGACTGCTTAGAGACAGTGTCAACCATGTGGCCGCGACCAATCATCAGGTCGATCTGCGTGCCATGTTGCCTGCTGTCTGCTCCAGGGGGGAGGTAGGTTCGGCTGGCAATCCCTCGTTTCCCCCATGTGTTGAGAACACAACACCGATGTGCCCGCAGAATATCCATGAGGATGCCTTGGTCAGGATGTGGGGGGCCCTGGTCCGGGCTCCCAGTGCCACAGATGTGGTCCTCAGAGTGGATCGTGAGGTTGAAGTCACCTGCAATAAGACAGCCATGGCGTTGCGGGATCTGCAGAAGCCATTTGTCAACTGCATTCCAGACCCTCCGGCGAAGAGCCAGCAAGGCCTCTTTCTTGTTAGCACCTCGAAGTGAGGAGTTCTGCATGTTCCAAGCGTGTTGGTAAATACATAAGATGTCTAACGGAGTATGGAAAAGCAGTCTGATGTGCAAGAGACGACCAGGGAGCACGCCGGACGTGCGGATTTGGTCCGGCTGGAGCAGGCCTTTCCGAACCATGCAAAGTATTCCGGTTCGGTCCTTCCCCGTGGAGTGTATAACATGCCAGTTGACAGCATGAGCAGCCTGGGAGTTGGTGGAATATTCCATGTCCTCCTGCCATGCTGTTTCCTGGACGAGGAAAATGTCCACGGTTCTCCCTGCCTCGTGTTCCATCTGTAGCCAAGTCAAAACCTCACGGTATGTGTGGCTAGCATTCCAGGAGACAATTCTGAGGCGATCACCATGGGCTCCTGATGCTGCACATCTGGTTCTGGTTTCCTGCGAAGCCATGCGTTTGCTATGTGCCGTTTGCTGGAGCTGATGAAGATGGAAGGTCCTGCCTCTGTAGGTCGTAGTCTGGTGCTCATTGAGTTGCGCTCTGCGCAGGGCCCTTTGAAAGGCCCGCTTCCGAATTGGTTGGGTGCCACCTGAACGCCGGGTCTCATAGCTCCGGTCACCAAATGGCTTCGCCCTACTGTGGGGCAAGTGAGAAGACCGTTGGTTGGCTTCAATGCTTCCGTGGTGCTCGGGAAGCATAACCCTCGCATCAGTTGCACTCGCTATGGTGAGCAAGTTGGAAAGTAGGAAAAGCAGACAGAATCTCCAAATGTGTGGTCTGACTTTCTGAGTGCAACCCTGGGACTTGGGACCCAGGCGGCTCTGCGGTCGTTCATCTCGTTCAGAATCCAGCAGGGAGGGCCTGTGAGAAGGCTTCGGTGGTGAGAAAGTGGCATCCCAAAGTGGTTGGCCTGAAAGAAGAGCAAGCAGCACCAGGTGAAGGAGCCCAAAGGTCGAGGAGTATGAAGAGACCTGTGGCAGGAAGGACAGCTCAGCAAAGGAACTTGTTGAGTCAGATCCGAGAGCTGTGGGCCTCACCTGTTGTCGTCTTTGCGCCGTGGTTCCTTGTGACCTCAGCAAGCGGTATGCATAGATCACAGTGGCATAACTCAGCAGGTAGAATAAGGTCACCGGCCGGGATTGCAACGAGGTCGTGGTACCGTACCTGGCCGTACAGGTGGTAGAGCATATCAAGGGTACACAGAGCGGTCTTCTTTGTATGCAAGAACTTTGGCTTCTTTTCGGCGTGTGCCCGTGCCAATGGTAACAGACGAAGTCATCAGGGCAAAGCCGTGGCTGAGTCCTCTCAGGTGCCCTCTGTATGGGCATTGGCCAGCATGGCCCCGTCCTAGTGCAACCCCTCATTTCACTCTGTGCGTCGGCGCCTGAAGGGATTTCATGAGGGAGTGTGGGCGCATGCCAAGGACTCCACAGCAGGCACGCAACGAGCACACATGAGTTTCGGAACGAATGAGGTCCCGACTTGGCATTGTCTGAGACCCTGCTGTTGCCCGCTCTTGGCTTCGGCTTAACCGTGGGCTTCGCACTTGCTGTCGTACCCATGGTAGAGGTTGGGCCTGTATGGCTCGTTCCACCAGATCCACTCGCACTGCTGATGACGTTCCTACCATGCGACGGCCTGGGTGGTGAGGGAAGCTCTGCTGTGGCCTGGTCGAGTGCTTGGATCTCCTCAGCCGTCAGGTGCTCTCTGAGGGAGGCATTGGCTTCCTCTGCAGTGATCGTGGTCGCCATGTTCATGGGCGGGGGCAGCAGCGGGTTGCCGACGTGCACTGCATCCTCAGCCGGAAGGGTGTTCTCCTCAGCCGCTTCGTCGTCCTCCGGGGGGTCACCTGTGTACAGGGTGAAGGGATGCTCGGTGTCAATGGGCTGCATCTTGGAGATCAGGACCTTGATGAAGCCCACGTTGCCCGAGGTCCTGATGGAGGCATCACACACCGTGAGGATCGCCATCGAAGTCTGTCCCCGTGTTCTCAGAGAGTTCGCGATATCCGACGAGAGGTGCTGCGACATCGATCGCTCAGCGTAGTGGAACTGTACTGGAGTGGGACGTGGAGGGCCGCGCGGCTCGCCTGGGGGTGGTGCCGCTGTTTCGCCTTCACTGCTGGGGTCAGCAGACGAGTTTCATCCCTGCACTGTTGTCGAAGACTGCAGTCAGCGCGCGGTGGCGGTAGCAACCAGAAAAGGAAAAATTTGCAGAGCCGTGCGAATATATGATTTTGCATCCTCGGTGGCCTCGTTCAAGGCTGTGAGAGCTGCCACTTCCTGCAGGTAGTGCTCCAGGGTAGCCATGTGCTTAAGACGCAGGTGCCACTGTATATCCGCTACAGGGAGGCCGCGATGGTACAGTGCGACGGCACCGCCACCTCGCAGACCGCCCGGAGTTACAGAGACCAGACCTCGAAGTCCCAGCGACGCGAGACACTTGTCCCAGCGCGTGCGAAAAGCAGCATGGCTGAACGGGAATAGCTTGTCACCAGGAGCAAGGCTGCCGAACGCATGCTTGATGAGCAAACGAGCCTCCGAGTCATCAACGCGAATGTGCTGTACCCGCGGCCTCCCGCGCAACGACGTCTTGGAAGAGTCGAGGCGCAGGAAGGCCGAAGGGGTGAAGTCGAAGAGGTCCTCAGGCAACACCAAATGCCGTCGCTCGCAGGACAAAACTTCACCAATCCGCGCCATACCGTAGAAGGCAAGGAGAGCGCAGCCACACCACCTCCTGAAGCCACCAAGCCACGCGATGCAGACCATCGCTCGCAACAGGGGCTCCGGAATAGGAGTCCGGTGTATCGTCGGTTCAGCCGCCTCCCACCTCGTCAAGATCTCCCAAGCAGGAGCAAGACAACCTCGCAGAGTCAAAATGGCTCGCTGAGCCCCAACCAGAGTGTACCTGAAGCTGTGCTTGGACCCGCCGCTGCAGTACAGATGATTACCATACGCTCGCAGAGCCATGGCGGCGAGGATGGGACAGCAGACGAACAGGGACACCGGATCGACAGACAGGTGACAGGAGACCCACGAGAGGAAGGAGCGCCACGCCGAATCGCCCAAGAAGAGCGAAGTCTGAGACTGCAAAGGCTGTGATTCCAGATCACCGGGAGGACGAACTGACCGCCTGCGAGGGCCGGGATTCTTAGCTTCACCAACCCGACAACAGTTGCCAAGCTTTGCACAAGCCGCGGCATCCAGCGCTCGGCGAGCGTTCCACTGAGCAGCACTGCACAAACCCACTGCAATGGCATCGGCGAACCCAGCCGGAACTCGCGAGGCGACAGAAGTCCACGGGAGCCTCTCAGCAGGGGAGTGGCCGACGAGCCGCAGGTGACGAGTTTTGCAAGAACAGAGAAGGCGAGCGCCTGCCGTTGAAGAGTTGAGGGCGACGCGGGTTCAGCCCCAGAGGGCGAGCACGCGAGCGTACAGGAGGCCGGATTGCCCGCGAAAAAGATGCACAAGGAGGGAAGCCGCCCACTATCCGAAAAGCACCGGCCGAGATGAGAGCTTCCAACTTGGACCGAAGCTCAGGGCACGAAAGGTCTTGATCGGCTCCTCTTTGGGCATCAAAAGCAAGCACCCAAGGGGCCCCTGCACGGAGGAAGGCGTTCACGACACTCACCTGCGAAGTGTACAGCACCAGTACGCCAAGCTGTGTCAAATCCAGCGCTTGCCCGGGAGAGCACCTGAACAGATCAACCGGAAACGCTTGCAGCGCCATCACAGAGCGCACGGTGGCAGAAGTGACAGCGCTGCCCTCAGACAAGTCCACCCACGCAGAAGGCACGACGGCCTCAGGAGATCGCCGAAGTGGCCTGGGCATGCGAGCAGAGAGCCCGCGCTCACGGTTCGACTTCAAAACGGCCGGGCGAGAGGCACCCAAGAGGCAGAGGTCATCCTGCACAAAACGGGCGCTCGCATCAGAGTCAGCACCGGCCGCCGCCAGGAAATCGTCAAAGGGCCCAGTGTCCCCGACCTCCAAGGCACGCCACCAGTCAGGCTTTGCCAAAGACGGCAATCTAACTTGAGTGTTTCGCGTTGGGTCGTCGCCCGGGTTCAAAGCTGAAGGCAAGAAGAGGTGGCAGGGAAACAGCCGACTGCCGAGAAGCGGACCCAGAGAAGCCCGAAGTTTTCGGTTGAGGATGGGGCTTGCACTCCGGCCTTTGACTAAGCAACCTAGGCACACCTGTGAATCGAGCCCGGCTAAGGGACGAACCGCGTGAACCCTGCCTGCAATCCTGGCCTCCTCATGCAGATAAGCAGCAAGTTCGGCGATATTAATGTGTATCCGCTGCCGGTACTGCCTACGCCAGCGCACCCTAAACTGCGGCACCCTAGCGAAAGCCTCGGCCACAGGATGTGCGGAGAACTCGAAGTCACCAGGAAGCTCAGATTCGGGCTCAAGAAGGTTGTGCTCCTTAAGCCAAGCCGAGGGCGGTGTCAACAGCTTTGTCCATGCCCCCTTTTGCAACGAGTGGCGCTGAAACTCGGCCACAACAGCAGGCGAAATCTCGGCTGACACAGCAGCTTGCCACGAACTGGAAGCATCAGTGGCAATGATGGTCCCGGAAGGCTGGGCACGCAAGTCCACGACCGCAAGGTGCCCAAGGCACACGAAGGAAGCGAGTTCGGACTTCAGCTCGGGAGACAGGCGCAAGATGGTCTGCGCGGAGCCGCCCTGCACCGCTTTAAAGCACAGCTCAACCAAGCTCAACATACGCCGGCGCAACATGAAAACCGAGACCCAAGATCCGAGGAGACTCTCAAGCAAGCCCCGCGTAGCGAGCCCGAGCTGGAGGACGCGCAGAGTGATCAGGACCAAAGGCCAGTAACGCGCTGGGTTTGCACGGATGAGCCCCGATCGGCCACAGCAGCTGATCCCCCAAAACGAAGCGTGCAAGCTGTCTTCAAAAGTCTTCTTCTCGCTGTACCGAAGCTTCGCACCGTCGTACGACCGAAGGGCTGAATGCAGCCGAACGGCACCCGCGGAGGAGCCAGGAGAGGCTCTCGCTGCCTGGAGCTCGGCCTCCAAACACTTCTGCAAAATGATCAAATCATCTATGACGAGTCCCACCGAGACAGCAAGCCTCGAGGAGGCGGCGAAGCCTGGACGAGCAGCTCACCCGGGTAGAGAGCTCTGGCTTGAACTAAGACTCCTAGGTGGCTGCACTGAGCGAACTCGCAAGCAGACGAGTCGCCCATGGCGAGAGAAGAAAGGCCGCACAGCACAGGATTGCCGAAGTCACGGAAGGCATCCGGCGACCGCTCGAAGACAAAGGCGGCATCAGAAGGAGAGAGCTCGCACGCCAGGTGGTTCCGGGTCACCCGCTGCTCTGTCACCGCGAACTGATAAAAACAGTCTTGGAGATCAGTGCCTGACATCAGCAGCACCTCATCCTGACGTAGAACTATCCCGCTCAAGCAAGCCGCACTAGCTAAACTATGGACCCAACGACCCGGAAAGTTTTCAAGCTCATTAGCGGGGCGAGCGTCCAGCACGAGACGGTCTCGTTCGCCGTCCTTGGCAACTGCGAACAGGCCGGCTCCCCAAGCCGCGCGCTCTTGCGGGACGCAAGAGAGCGGCTCAAGTCGACCAGAGCGAGCCAAGGCTCTCAGAAGGAGCAGCTTTTGCTGAGGATCGGCCAAGATCTTTACGAAAGGAGGCTTCTCAGCAAGGGGATCGGGGACCCGAGCAAAATCTAAGGGTCTGTTAAAAAACTCCGCTGTTGTGCGATCCATGAAAGGCGCGGGAGCAAAGGCAGGACAAGCTGGCAGCTTAACGCGGTCGGCCACGATCGGCATGGCAGCAATGTCAGGTTTTCCGGCAAGAGTGCCAACTTTCAGCGCAGGGGACGGCCCCGGCGCCGTGACACCGGCAACAGTAGTGCTGCGAGGGAGGTACCCAGCAAAGCTCCTGCACACGGAAGCGGCTGCTCTGCTGAGCGCCTCCAACGTTTTTGCTTGGCCTTCAACCTTGTGCCCAATCCTCCCGTAGTCTTCTGGTTGAAACGTCAAAGGGAAAAAACTGCCAAACACGAGGTGCTCCAGATTCCTTACGATCTGCCACTGTTTGTGGTTGAGGGGCACCCCTAAGCGCACCGACGCAGGGCACGAAGAAGGGCAGCCCATGTGTTCAAAAGACAACCGGGCCACCGAAAGACTGATCAACCGCTTTTTCCACAAACCTTCGGAGTGTTCACCAAAGGCCTCAGGAAACGGCAGTGGACACGGCCACGTGAACGACGTGGGAGAGGCTTTCGTCTCCCGGCACAGCGCGCCACGCAAGTACGAAGCAAAAGGGCCCGAACATTTCAGCATCGAGCGAGGGATTGAATTCCAGAGAGCAGGCAGCGAAAGGGCGGGGGCTTCGGAGCCTGGAGCCCGCCTACCGCCACCATCTCGGTTCATGCATCGTTCTTGGGATTGGGCCTCCGTGGCGGTTTTCTCGGAGGCTTGTCGGGACTGTCGGCGGGGACCTCGGCATCGTCCTTGGGAGGAGTTCTCAAGCGCTGGCTGAGCTTCTGGGGTCCAGCAAGCGAGAGTAAACTGGATCGGCAGAGGAGCTCGCAATCTCGTGTTTCTTGAAGGAAGACATGGGCGGCCCGACTTCGAGACTCAGTTCCTGGCTCAGAAGCCAACTGCCTCGGTCTATTGAGGCTTGATCTGCTTGGAGGATGGCCAGGTTGAGTCGTGCCCTGGCCTGTTCGATCTGACCAGACCGCAGGCAGTCCAAGGCCCCTCCTATGGCCCAAACAAGATGCACCATAGTTGGGTAGGCCTGGATCCGAGATCGGTGTTCGAGCCATCCGCGCGTCGAGGTGAGAACGGGAGTACCAGCGCCTGGTGTGGAAGCACAAAGGTCCTCGGCCATCAAACCTTCTATCAGAGCAGACAGCTCCTGTGGAGCGGTGATCAGGCTCTCTCTCAGCGCTCGCCTCGCCGCTGCGTTGCGACGTCCCGAGCTCAATGAGCCATCGAGCGACCCACCGGCGCCGGAGTCCAACGCCTTGTCCAAAGCGGAAGCCTTGGCAGAACTGCTCTTGCCGCGGAGGGAGTCGAAACACTTGGCCACGGCCTTCGCGAAAGCCTCGGCTGGATCGGCTGCCTCCGGCAACTCTGGGGCTTCGGGCACAGCGCCAAGCCCTGCAGGGTCCGCGTCTTCGTCCCCCGACTCCTCGAGTGGACTCGCTTTGTCGCCGCGGTTCGTGGCGGCCGAGATCTTGGGCTCGGCTTTGAGACGTGAAAAGCCACTGCTGGAAACTAGGCGGGACATCTGCGCCAGAGCATCGGATTGAACGCCAGCGGCCAAAGCAGCCGCGACGACACCACGGTCCAAACCTGGGTAAGCTCCAGCAGGACCCAACGCCTGTTCGTCGACACCGGGAGGAGGCCGCAAGTGGCTGCTTCGCCCAGCCCTTCCCGCGGTAGGCTTTGCCGGGGCGGCCTTCGGAGTGGACCCAAGAACCGCACCAGCCGCCATAGAAGCGGTCAGCGTAGCAACTGCCTTCTCTATGGCAGCCAGACGGTCTGCAACGCCGTCTCCACCAGCCTGTCCTTCTGAAGCTGATTGCATCGGAGTGCTCAAGCCTCCAGTTTGCTGGGCTTGCCATAGCTCGGCCAACACGTCGACGGAAGGCACGAGGAGCTCGCCTGTTGGGAGCGCCCCAAACGGCACCGTTGGAGTGGCATCGCTTCCCTCTATGGAACCTTCCGCCTCGGGCTCGCAATAGCCAAGCCAGACTCTCACGCTCTGCCCTGCAATCTCCACCGCACGATCGGTGATGGCAACAACTGCCACTTCTGCTCCAAACACTCGGGTAAGAAAACCTTTTGGCACCGTCCTCTTCGCCACCACACGGTGCCAGGCTGCACCGGGCAAGCATATCAACAGCTTTCCCTTGATATCCCCAACAACTGCACAATGCACCTTGACCTCTGCACCAGCCTCGTCCTGACCACAGCGCAAAATGCATAGCGGACAAAACTGATCAATGAAACCCTCGCCAACTGCTGCGCAATCTCTGGCTGTCAAAGCCTCACCATCTAACTCACCATCCAACTCATCCATCTCACCAAGAGTCAGGCAAGGCCAAATTGGCCGCTGCACACACTGCTATGATGTCCTGGCGGGCTGGAAGGCCCACGAACACACTGTCTCCGCAATCCGATCCTCTCTTGCAAACCCTGGCGCACTCGGCAAAGGTCTTGCACACGAGCACGGGATCCTGAAGCTGCCCTTCAAACGTACGAGCAACTAGCCACAACCGGGACTGGAGGGGCAGACGATCTCTACCTGAGCTCCCACGGTGCTGTCCTGAGATTGCACGGCGTAAAAACAATCCGATCTCCCGGCAAGCCGCAGCACGTTCTGCTGCTGGCACACAGGTGTTTCCGCGCACCGGCAACGTAGGAGAAACTCGCGCGTTCCAAGCAGTCAACGTAGGGCCTTGGGAGGAGGCAGATTCGTTCCAAGCTGTAAGAGGCTCAGCGCGGGCCTTAGGGGCGGGACTAAACCCTAGAGAACCCGAAGGGGCAGAGGCAGGGTTCGACAGAGGGCCTGGAGAGGCAGATCCCGCAGCAAGAGCGGCGGCTGAGACAAGGTCAAAGGAAGAAGTCGGCGAACGAGCCTCGTCAAGGCGAGCCTCTAGATTTGCCACCTGCTGGCGCAGCTGCACCACGAGCTCCTCAAGATGCTGCACGCGCAGCTCGAGGCTCATGCACGCCCTACACCAGAACCCTAAAGAAGCCTATACCGAACCGGAGGCCTAAGGAACCGGTCTAACCGAACCCAAAGTAACCCCCGAAGGCACAGGATGAGCTCGAGAGCTGGAAAAAGGCAAAGTCCAAGGGCCAGCCCGAGCAGCACAGAAGGGCCGTGAAGTTGCCAGGAGGCAGAATCCAGAAAGTCCAGGGCAGGAACGGGACAGACGGGACAGTTCAGGAAGGTAGGCTCGGGAGAGTGTTCGAAGAGTCGACCGAGGTGGAGAAGCAGAGAGGTAAGACTAAGACCAGCAGACGACGAGACGAGGGCCCTGGACATCCACTTGATCCCAAAAAACTTCGAGTCTCCTCCCGTGAAAACATGTTGGCCCATGGCCCTCCTCTGCTATCCTTCAATCAAACGCTTAAAGGCAAACATAACGTACCTTGCCCTCCTCTCCTCTCCTTCAATTAAGGGCGAACGTACGGTACATGCATGCCCTTCCTCTCCTCTCCTTCAATTAAGGGCGAACATAAGGTGCAGGACCCTCCTCTGTTTTCCCTTAATCAAGGGCGAACACTTAAGGTACATGGCCCTCCTCTGTTCTCCTGCGCTTATGTTCGCTCTTATTTGAATGACAAAGGAAGGCCATGTACCTTATCCTCGACCTTAGTTGAAGGAGAGCGGAGGAGGGCCATGTACCTGATGTTTGCCCTTAGACGAAGGACAGAGGAGGGCCGTGTACCTTGTGATCGCCCTTAATTGAAAGAGAGCAGAAGAGGGCCATGTGCCTTATGTTCGCCCCGAGCAGAGGAGGGCCGTGTACCTTATGTTCGCCCTCAATTGAAAGAGAGCAGAGGAGGGCCGTGTATCTTATGTTCGCCCTTCCTTGAAGGAGAGCAGAGGAGGGCCATGTACCTTATGTTTGCCGTTAATTGAAGGAGAGCAAAGGAGGGCCGTGTACCTTATGTTCGCCCTTGCTTGAAGAAGCAGAACTTGTAATATTGGATGAAATATATTCTATGATAGATACTATAAGTTATGCACTACAGAAGTTAGCCAGTCCTTACATAGAACTGCTCATTCATACTATGTGCAGATTTAGTGCTATGCGTATACGTATATACTACCTATATGACAATACCTATGACATATCTTTAAGCCTTGTATCTTATATCTTACATCTTATACCTTGCATCTTGTATCTTATATCGTATGTAATGTGTACAGTATGTGTCTTCATAGTACGTGATACTTATTCTGTATTACGTACTACATCTTTTAACTTATGGCAATCATATTGTTTTGCGCATTACGTAATTTTTATTATGCGTTAAATGAATGTCGGAGCATATACATATCATGAAATGGTATACAATTGCATATTTTAATGTAGTACAACATTATGGTGTATTGCATGCTGTTCTGATAACTTGAGCTTCAGTTTCTATGGTGTATATACATTTGTATATGTATATATATATATATATATATACATATACTGTACATGCTGTATGTTATATTGTGTTTATGGGCTGGAACGCCCCCTTTGCAACAGCTCGGCTTCGCTTCGACCAGCAGGCCTCCCTAAAATCACGGACAATCAGCAAGCGTGGTACAATCCTAAGCCCAGAGACTAAACGGCCTTTACAGCAGATAATGGGGTTTACTTCGTATAACAACTTAAACTTCCAAGAGCCTAGTATTGTTCTCCGCAGGCTTTCCCGGGCCGCGAGTCTGCACGCGCCACATGACTCGCTCCGCGCCGGCTGGGAGCGAAATGGTGGTGGCCTGCAGAGCATTTGAGGCAAGCCCTTTTGGGAGGGCCTCGACTTCAAAGCCCAATGCTCGAAGAGGAGCGGTGCATCCCCTTGTGCGGTCAGAAACCCTAAACCCTGAACCCCTTCGCCCTTAACCTCTAAACCCCCCATAGCCCCCAGAACGGGCACCGCTTGCCTTGTGCTGCAGGCGGTGGTTGTCCCACACCTCGGAACTCCACAAACCCGCGTCCTTGACCGGTTCCCCATCCTCTTGTCTCCAAGACCACACTTTTTAGGCTTATCATGACGGGTAGCGGTCCTTGGAAGTACTTGAAGCCCAGACTGATACCTCCCTGAAAACCTAGGCTTTAGGACCTAGGGCCGAGGGTTTAGAGCTTACAGTTCATGAAACTTCACCCTGAACCGAAAAACCCTAGCACGCTTGAACTGCTGACTGCGAGGGACCAGAAGATCATCTGTCCGCCAGCGGTGGCAGTAGGTGCTCTGCAGCACCTCGTCTTCGAATCGGCGGCAGAATTGGGGTGGAGGGTCACCATTTGGGGCTTCAGGTTTAGGGTATGGTTCCTAGAGAGGATTTAAGGGTTTCGGGCTGCGAGAATATGGGATTTCAGGCTTGTGGGCTTCGGGCTTGGTGTCTAATTGAGGAGTTCGGGGCAGGGAAACCTCCATCCCATATTGCATGCCGTGCCATGTCCCCAGACGCCTTCATCGACTACATCGAGCAGCTGACATGCAAAGTAAGCAACTCCTACCACAATACGCTGACCGCCCTTAGCCTCTCGAACATAACAGAGACAAGGCACGTGCTCCTGCAGATCTGCGAGAAGTTGCTTTGACTCCTCCTGCTGTCATGATATCGAGGCATGGGAGCTCCCCGCGAGAGAATATACTGTAGCATGGTATATTGCACTGTTGCACACTCTAATTTACTGCATACAAAACTTACCACAACATACCAATTTTTACAGCAATATACTTGACGACACTGTAAGATATAAGTAGTTTCAATAACATACTTTTGCATGCTATAATAACCTTGCATACTATAATATTCTACTATATTCTGGAACCTACTTTCTAGTGTCTTACAAGAACGCCTTACAAACACTTATAATATATATATATATATATATATATATATTTATTTATATATACATATACATATACATATACATATACATATACATATACATATACATATACATATACATATACATATAGTAACGTACCACATAATATGCCATATAATCTGCTATGTAGTTATGGCGTAGCTGCAGGCATGCACAAGGTGCCTTCTAGGACAAGACCTTGGCCCCTGACCAAGATCTGTCCTCCGCAAGGCCCTCAATGCGAGAGACGTAGGCCTCGTTCACGAACACCTGGGATCTACTTCAAAGCAGCTCAGGGACGTTGGGTTTAGGGTTTGGGACTGCTTCAAAGACTGAAAAGATTGTAGTTCTCTAAATTAGGGTCCCGTTTTAGGGTTCCTGAGAAGGATCTATGAGGGGTTCTATAGGGTTTCTATAAAAGGAACTGTATGGGCAGTTCTCTCGATTGGGGTGCCTTAGTAGGGCGTGGTACTGCATCCTCATACAAAAAGACCCCAAAAGGCACCCCAGTTTAGAGAACTAACCAAAAGTCTACAAGACTCCACATGATCAATCTCAGCGGCAGCTTCTCGGCTTACCCCGTAGCTGTTGTGAACTCTACTACTGAACTCTGAAGTCTATACACCGATACCCCAAACCCATTATTATGCCCTGTCTTCTATATTCTACATCATACAACGTTTTATAATGTATCATCGTATCGTACCTAAAACATGTAGTATAGGTCATATATTACATATTCCAAACCTCTAGAGTCTCCTGGACTGACGAAACGGGATGCCACGGCACAACCTCCCTGCCACTGAGGGGATGGGAGCGAAGCACATCGTGCGAGATATCCTGCCAAAGGACGGAAACCCTAAACCCTACACCCTAAACACCACAAGAAAGGCAAAGGAAAATCCGATACTAAAACAACCCTAAACCTGAGAAGGCAATAACCTTTCCTCAAAGTGCCAAATCCGGGAACGTGCAGGAGCCGATGGTTTCAGGCACTTGGATCATGTATAAGTAGGGCTATAAGCCTCCTAATATGAGTTGTAAGTATAGTTACCCTACTGCTAACCCCACTTATAACTGCCCATGAACCTCCAGGTACCGGAGGGCTTTGTGGCTTGGAAATTTGAGCGAGCTTCCAAGGAGCCGACAGCAGCCCCAAAACGCCAAACCCTAAAACCCTAAACGCCTAAATCCCTTAAACCCCTCAAGCCTCAAAGCCCTAAACCCCCCCCCCCCCCCCCCAAGTCGGTCCGGAGCAGGCTGCCAACCGCCTGCGGCCATCTCTGGCAGAGGTACACCACCGTTGTGAGCCTCAGATGTGGATTAGGGTTTAAGGAAGACCTTTGAGTTTGGGGTTTAGGGGTTAGGGCTTAGCTTAGGGTTTACGGGAATAGGGTTTCGGGTTTCAGGAAAACCTCCAGGACTTCCTTGCGCTTACGACGGGCCTTGATTTTCGTCGTTCTGTTGTTGGTCGGCCGCAACTTAACCCTGAATTCTGCAACAACATGCAAGCTGCACTTTGGCAAGTTCTAAGACCCGAAACCAGGAAAAGACCGCAATGCGTGCTCTGATCCTAGCGCCTCAATGTTTTAGGCCCTAGATTCCGAAGCCTGGGCCGCTCTATGCAGTCCTGTGGCCAAGTTGTGACCCGCGCGGAGTCCCTGCACCCGGCCACGAAGCTCCGCTGCGAGGGGCACCCCGGCGTCGGCAAAGAGGGTATCACCCAGAGGGCCCTGGCTCCAGGGTTTAGGGTTTGGGTTTGGGGGTTAGGGTTTAGGGTTTGGAGTTTATGGTTTAGGGTTTGGGGTTTCGGTCTTTTTGTTGAGCACGTTTTTGCACCTAGCAGTTAAGGTCGGTTTTCGGGTTTAGGGCTTAGGGTTGTCATCGTCGTCATCATCAGTATCATCATCAACATCATTGCTGTTACTCTTGTTACTACTGTTAAACTTACTACTATTGCTATTGCCAATACATCATGGTTACTGGTACTAAAGCAAGCAGTAATGATAATACTAACACTAATACTAATACTGATACTGATACTCAACTCATACTCATACTCAAAGCTGCTGCTGCTGCTGCTGCTACTACTACTACTACTACTACTACTACTGTTACTGCTACTGCTACTGCTACTGCTACTGCTACTGCTACTGCTACTACTACTACTACTACTACTACTACTACTTCTTCTACTACTACTACTACGACTGCTAAGGCTACTGCTACTGCTAGTGCTGCTGCTACTGCTACTAGGAGTACCACGTTTACTACCAGTCCCATTACTATTCGTCATCTTGATCATTACCAAACTGTAGCAGCGATGGCAAGACTGCGAATCATAGCAAGGGACATCTACTAATGCTTGCGATGGAGTTAAAGAGCAATAACCAATCGCGAGACTACTAACAAACGATGTTGTCGTGGAGGGAAAACGTCCGTCGTTAAATTGAAAATGTACGCAACCACGGCTTCTTGTGTACCACTACATGTGCTGAAGAAACACTCCCTAAACCCCATATCCCGAACCCTACACGCTCAAACCAGCATGGTTATGGCTGCTGTTGGTGTTGTTGTTATGTTGCCATTACTGATGTGATTGATTGTTATGCTTGCTAATCTTGTGATTATGGCCACTGTTGTTTTTGTCATTACTGTAATTAGTGCTAGTGTTGCTGTTTTTGTTCTTGTTACTCGTGCTAGTACTATTATTGCGACTATTGCTAGTAGTATATGTTGTAAATCTACTGCTTTGATTATTTTCACTGCTATCCTGTATTATGTTTAATTACTACCAACAATTTGTTATTGATGTTGTTATGCTTTTTGGCAGCAGCAGCAGCAGCAGGAGGAGGAGGAGGGGAGGAGGAGGAGCAGGAGTAGTAGGAGCAGTAGCAGTAGCAGTAGCAGTAGCAGTAGCAGTAGCAGTAGCAGTAGCAGTAGCAGTAGCAGTAGCAGTAGCAGTAGCAGTAGCAGTAGCAGTAGCAGTAGCAGTAGTGGTAGTCGTCGTCGTCGCCGTAGCAGCAGTATTCCTCTTCTTACTCCTATTCTTCTTATCCCTAAACCCTAAACCCTAAACCCTAAACCCCAAACCCCAGACCCTAAAACCCGAAACCCCCATTTCTAAACCCTTTATTCGGGCTTGTACTGTTCTGGATGCGCCTGGGGCCCGACCGGGATATCCAGGGCATACAGCAAAGTCGGGCCCCCGGGCTCTGGCGCCTCAAAGCTTTTGGGGTTTAGGGCTTGGGGCTTGGGGTTTGGGGTTTAGGGTTTAGGGGTTTTCGCTTTGGCGTTACTAGGCCCAAGGCGTTACAAGAGTTTGGGGGTTTTGAAAGCTTCTCAGAGCTTTGAGGGTTTAGGCTTTATAGGACTTGTCAAGGGTTTGGATGCCGAAGTTTTGACCGAAGCGTTCTGACCGAACGCTCTTGTTTGAGCGTGGTGTCTTCTTGCAGGGGTCCAGGCTGGGCTGAGTTTGGGGGCCATGGGCCTTGGGGGCGTTGGGTGGGCTGCCATGTGCCTTGCATGGGCGGGTTTCAAAGTGGCACAAAAACATGCATTGTCTATTCATTTCATTCTTGAGGGTTAGGGTTTAGGGTTTAGGGTTTAAGGCCGAGCGGTTAAGGTTGAGGGTGTTTTCAGCTCTACAGGTTTCGGGCCTGACCAAACCTGCACTCTCCAAGGACTTCAGGGCGTAGAGTTTAAGTGAGATGACCCAGCATGCTCCGGAGATCGAGAACGGTGAGCTGACTGGGAGCCCGGCGTAGGAGTTGTCGGAATGCCAGAAATCCTGTCCTGTGCCAGGTTGACATCTGAAATGTCCCAGCAACACCTGCAAAAGCAACCGAAGCTTGAAGAAAGGAATTAATGCTCTTTCTGTCGTGTATCTGCATGCTTCTCTAAAGCCGAAACCCTAAACCCATCTTGGCACTCTGTCACGAGCTGCCCGTTTTTGGGACAAGCCATGAAGCTGATCCTCTCGGAGCAGGATCTCGGTTGCAAACACCTGGGCGTGGGTGCGTATAGGTCCGTCGGCATGTCGGGGATTCGAAAGAAACGAATTGACACGAGCTTATACTTGTACCCACATGCATGATATATCTATCTCTATATATATATATGTATACGCAGCTATATCGAAAAGATATTCCCATATACAGATACATATAGTTAGGGTATTTGTGTATTCATATTGGTATCTATATGCATATTGGCTTGATAGTTGCATTTGTGTTTGTAGTAGTACTCATGTTTGTATTTCTTTTTACATGTGCACTTACACATGTTTAATTGCTTGCTGAGGCATCTGTATCTGTATCTGTATGTTTATGTATGCATAGCATATATATATATATATACATGACGTAATTAGGATGTATAGAGAGAGAGAGAGAGAGAGAGAGAGAGATAAAGATGACAGATGTATGACCACATGTCATAAGCGTGCATACAGTCATGCATACATACATACATGCATACATACATACATACATACATATATACACATGTATACATACACTGTGTATTTATCAGGTGAGTATTGTACTTGTATCAATGTCCAAGTTCCTAGGATCCATCCATCAATGGTTTAGGGCTTAGAGGTTGGGTTTTGAGGGCTCAGAGCATGCAGAGTTCAGGCTTTAGGTGTTAGCGTTTAGAGTCTAGGATGTGTGATGCTGAAGACGGCAAGAAGGAACTCGTAGTGTATGGAGTGCACACAAGCTTTGTGATAACGTCTGATTCTGTATGATGGTTCGTTCTCCTGTGCTACAAATGGCTTACGGATATTCAAGCTCAGGGACGAAAGCCCGAAGCATGTTCCCAATGCCAACTCAATCTTAAACACAGGCTACCAGCAAGAACCATCATCAGAATGATGCTACTACCACTACTCCTAACTAATATCAACAGTAGCAAGATTACAAATAACCCACAAAATCAGAATGATAAGACTCAATCATACGAAAAATATCAGAATCAACCGTTGGCAATAGTGCCTGTAATGGTCCATATATTAGGTCATCGTTTTGTCGGCCTCTTTTGTGATTCTACGTGGAGTACCCATACGGGGCACGAACATCTTGTAAGAGGGACAGTGGAAGGAATCCTAATCTTGAGACTCCCTCATGTATGAAGACCAGGTCCAGTTCCTAAACATCCCTAGAAGCCCAAAGCCTTATCAAGAATCCCGCAAAAGCTCTGGAACGGTGAGAAGACAAGGCACGGTACGTGGCCAGCGCACGTTGCTGGCCGGCAGCGGGGACGGGTTCTGCAAAAGCTGAAGCGACACGGAGGACATCCTCAAGAAACACAGGGTGACCTGCTGAAAGAACAGCGGTCATCCTTGGAATAAGTACAGTATGCAACGAACATTCGCAAGCTGATGCCCACTGCCTCCTCCAGCAAGTCCTGATCACGAAACAGCAGGAGGCCATGCTCACAAAGCCTCGGCGCGACCCATGGGAGTTCGACTCGGGTCTCGGGAGTAGCAAAGGCCCACAGCTAAAGATCAACATTCAACGCGTGAGCTTCGAAGCTCAGGACCCTACCTTCCCGGACTCAGGGTTTACTGCAGGGCATGGGTTGTGGTTTAAGGTTTAGGGTTTGGGGTGGACTTTCTTACCTTTGGTTAGTAGGGAATGGAAGAATGGTAGTATTTGTAGTTATAATTGTGCCCCATTCCTCCATTCCCTAGTACCCAAAGGCAAGCTTTTGAAGGCCGGGAGGCAATGTGCGCAGCTTCCCGGAAGGCAAATCCGGAGAGCTGAGATCGAAGCCTGGTGCTCTCTGGTACGCAGGGCTGGGCTAACTACCGTTATAGCACCACAATAGTACCAGAAGGGCTGTGTCATAATAGACCAAAAAAACCGTAAGAAAAGTATGATACAGCAAAAAGAAGACCGCAAGAAATACTGTATATGATCCTACGACAATACAATACGAGAAGGCAAAACTCCTTGCGCAGCTGCGTGAACCACAACAATCAAAGATAATTTCCATGATGGCCATTGCCGGGCTGGCATTGCACTGACCCTAAACCCTAAAGCCTAAAGCCTACACCCTAAACCCAACTCACATACATGATGTTGGTTTAGCAATTGTTTGGGCTTCCCACACGCTGTGTTTCCTGCCACTCCGGCAACTTTACCAAAGCCTCACCGCAGCGATCCAAACTCTAAATAGCCATTTCATTCCCCCCAGCCCTACATCCCGAATAACCCTCGAGAGCTACTCGATACTCCTTTCCCCCAGAATACCCTAGCCCAAAAAGGTTGCCCTTTTGAGTTCTAACAAGCTTAGATAAGCCCCAAAAGGTTCAAGATTACCTACTCCCCCACACCCTAAACCTTAAGCCTCAACCCTAAGCCCTGAACCCTAAACCCTATAAACCCCTCCCCACCACTACACCGAAGTAAAGAAACGGAGCGCCTCGCACTTCGGCTCCGAAGGACGCAAGGGGCCGCAGGTCCGGAGCCTCACGACCTCTTGAGGCGAACTCTAAGATATGACAAGGATCCTACTATTTAGGATACAACATTAGTAACAGTAGGGTCCCCCATTTTGGGAAACACCCTTATCTCTCTAAACCCTAAACGAGTGACGCTACCGGAATTTTAAGGTTAACGCCTTTAGGGCTTAAGAAACTTAAGGTAGCTAAGTAACATTACTGGAATCTAAGGTTCAGAATTTAGGGCTTACAGTAGGGGCTCAAGGTTTGGAGTTCCGGGTTCTAGGGTTGAGGGGGGTTTTTTGTTTTTTTTTTTTTTAAGCGCCTCTTTTCCAACTCGCTGTTCGCTCGTCGAAAATCCCTAAGGGGGAAGGCATGGTGAGCCTCATACGGGCTGGCCTGCACACATCCCTAGCGTACCTCTGTCACTCGAAGCTTTCACGACTCACCGACTTCAAAGGGGCCTGCCTCTGGTTGCACCTCCGAGTGGGTTCTCTTGCGACTGGCGGACGACATCCCACTCTGTTCTGCTAACCCTTGGTCCCTTCGTGTAGCATCGCCCTCATTATCCTCCTCAGCCTGGGCCAGGAAAACGGTATACATAGCTTCCCCAACCAGACTCACCACAACACCATCCGAAAGGTGTCCTGCCCTCCACTGGCTGTAGATGCTACCATGGTCAGGGGGGTTTAGGGTACAGGGTTTAAGAGCCGTAGCATCGGAAGACGACGATTACGAGGATTGCCGCTCCTCCTTGCTCAGTTAACACTTTTTAGGGCTTAGGGTTTATTGTTTCGGTGCTTTATTTACAGGGCCAGGGTTTAGGAATAGTGATAGTGCGTGCTGCTGACCACGATCCTCTGATGCTGCAGCCACTGGTTACTGATTATGTGCTGAGCCAGGCTCTGTGTTATGAAGCTTCCCCCTTAACTGCCCACAAATGACTACAGAGAATGACCTCCATCGTACGTGCTGCTCTTGCTTATTACTTACTGTGACGACATATATACAACCGAGTACTAAACATCTCTTACTCTTACCTATCACTTACTTCCCACCTAGTACTTAATACCGACCAAATCCAGCTCATCCAAAGATTTTGATGCCTTCTGTTGCAAAGCTTTGCAGAGTTCCGAGAGGGGGAGGAAGATCGCTCGACAGAGGTAGAGTAACCCCCTATAAAAACTATCGTTCCCCTGTATAGGAACCCTAAGAGACCCTTCGAACACATCCTGTATCTACCTTATACCCTCAACCCTTAATCCTAAATCCTAAAAGACTCTCTCTTCTCAGTTGAACCTCTAAAGATTCGCCGGCTCCAATTTTCGATTTCCTGCCGCAGGCACCTTTGTAGAACAGCATCGATCCTCCATCATATCATCCATAAAGTACAGTATGTTACTACATGGAAAAACATAGCATATGCTCGTAGATAAGAAATTATTGCATATTATAGCATATACTACAGCATATTGTAGGATAGTTATAGCAAAGTATCGTATACTGTTGTATATTAAAGCATATAGCATACTACAGTGCGTTTTAGTGTCGCAGCGGCCTGACTGAGGACTTCATGGACATCTGGAAAGCTACAGCACTGCACCCTCCGAACAAAGTTTAGGGCTTAGGGTTTAGGGTTAAAGGTCTAAGGATTCACCCGTGGGCACCAGCTAGCAGGCACCACAGCCCCAGTCCGAAACCTACTCCTCAAAGGGCTGTGACTCTGCAATTCAGAGGAAAATGCGACGGCGAGCCTGTTGACCGCAACCATGCAGAACTCCCACGAAGAACAACCTGCATATTTGGTGTTAATAATACTAGTAGTACTTCTGCCCCTTAGTTATGCTTCGTTCAGCGACATCGTGGCAACCCACATCGTTGACAGTATGATAAATGCTTTCGTTCTGGAAGCCGGGGGAGTGCAGAGTTTCGGCTCGGCAGGTTCATTGACATCTTTTGGAATTGCCCGGTCTTGCGTAGCCTATGATGTCTATGGAATGTTCAAGGTACACAGTGCTTGCAACACGGCGAAAACTTCTGTCATCCCTGCACACGCTGAAACGCAAGATGCACTCGCAGGATCACATTGTGTGCGCTGCCGTCCACAGATTTTCTCAGATACGGAAAGCCGGAAAACAAATCATGCACACTGGCAGCCACAGTAGTAGCAACAGTAGCAGTAGCCGTAGCGGTATCAGTAGCAGTAGCGGTGGCAGTAGCAGCAGCAGCAGCAGCAGCAGGAACTGCGATAGGAGCCTTCTGCAGCAAATGTAGTAGTAGTAGTAGTAGTAGTAGTAGTAGTAGTAGTAGTAGTAGTCGTAGTAGTAGTAGTAGTAGTAGTCGTAGTAGTAGTAGTAGTCGTCGTGGTAGTAGTAGTAGTAGCAGTAGCAGTAGTAGTAGTAGTAGTAGTAGTAGTAGTAGTAGTAGGTAGTGGTAGTGGTAGTGGAGTCCTTGTAGTAGTACTGGTTGCAGTCGTCGTCGTCGTCGTCGTAGTAGTAGTAGTAGTAGTACTTCACTTCCCTCGCGGCAAATGTCTGGATTCGCCAAGCGCAGCAGTAGTAGTAGTAGTAGTAGTAGTAGTAGTAGTAGTAGTAGTAGTGGGAAGCTGGGAGGAGGTGGAGTAGGAGGAGGGGGATCAGCTGATACTAGCTGTAGGACTAGCATACAACTGTTGCGACTAGTGACAAGTGGTGCTAGTACTGATACAAACACGAGTCAACGTACTCGCCGTGGCAATGGTAGCTAAAAGAAGAATAAAGCAGCAGACTGCAACAGTAGCACTAGCACACGTCGTCAGCGTTAATTTCGCTGCAGCAGTCCGGCAACAGCAGAGATAGTCGCGGCACGCAGAAGAACAGTAGCGACGACGGAAATAACGGTGCCTTTCCCCTCAGGTTTACAACCACAAGCCTCCAGCAAATCTTGATGTCGACGATGTCGCCGTCGCAAAGATAGGCGCCGTGCTACAAGAAGCAGGAGCGCCCCTGCACAGAAGTCAATAGACATGTGCCCATCCACACACAGCGAAGCAAAATCTTACTTTGAACAATCACCCACCTGTTTCGAATGCGAGGGGACATGCTTCAAGCTTGACTAAATATCCAAAACCACTCTGACTAAAGCTTCCTCCTTCTGTGAAGATGCTGAAACTGTAGTGGAGCTCCTTCTGGGATTTAGTATAATACCCTTGTATAATGACCCATACAACATGCTACACCCTCAACCCTGCCAGCAAGCCATCTTTGGCCCTTGCCCGCGCCTAGCCCCGCAGCCTCTGCTGCTTGAAGGGTCTCCCCTGCAAGCTTTGATGCAACAGTTCTGCACTAAGGCCTAAGTGCGACGATGACAAGTTTAGGGCTTCTGACTCAGCTTGCATGTAACTTGCAAGCACTTTTGCATACACAAGAAGCAATGAAGTACACGAGCTTAGAACTCAGGGCAGCCTTCTCAGGAATGGCCTCCTGTTGCCAGCCTCACACGTCGTGGAGGGACTTGTTCTCGGCGAGCTGGAGACCGAAAAGCCCAAGATGACACGGACGGAGACACAAACCTTGGATGTTGCAGCCTTCTGTTCAAAACCCGCCGTGATATTTTATGCTGCGTCTTGCGCTGTGACGGCGCGGCCGATCCATTTCTGCGGGGGCAGGCAGGAATCCGGAATCCGCGACAGTGAAAGTCATTTTCCCCTAAACCCCCCACCCCCCAACATCAAAGTCCTGGAATAAGTCAGCCACTGCCACAACGTTCCGAAACAAGTAGTGCTGACACTGATGCGGTGAGCATTCACTTACACCATGTGGCTTCATGTGTTGTTCTGGCTGCACAGCACTTTCATCCGGCAGACCAATTGCGCAAAATCCCCGTCAACAGCTAGGCGGATGCACCCGAGACGCTGGGACTCCGGAATTTGTGCGCGATGAGCACATGCTGCCACGTGCATTATGACAGTTTCACTGACACACAACTGGACGGCTGCACTTGCGTGTAACTTGTACGGATACAAGCTACATCTGGTCTAAGTGCTGTCGCGAATGTTAATGCTAAACAGCTGGTCGGTCGTCGTGAGACATCATCGGAAAGCCGTTATCATGACATTCTTGGCACGGTCGCAATTGCGACTTTCCATACCCGAACATGTCTCCAGCAGTTCGAAAGCTGCCAAAAAAACAATCACTGCGGGCCTTTGTGTTGGTGGGAAGCTCGCAACTCGTGCTTGTGCTACAAACCTAAACACCGAGACCACCGAGCTTGCCAGCGAAACGCCAAAAGGCACTAAAGCAGCAGCAACCGCCAAGGCTGGTGGCTTTTCAATTTGCATTCCAGCCCCACGTCAATCTGAAAGTTCAACAGCAGTTTTGCAACGTCGACAAACACATCGGGAGAAGAAAACTAAAATTTCGCGCCGTTCTAGCAACGTAGCGAAGCGGGCAGCCCACCCAGGCTTGTTGTTCAACATCGCGCACAGCAAAGTACAAAGTCCGATATGGTTGCTTGGAGAGTACTCCGAATTTGTCAGATGCAAGGTGCAAGAAGCAATAAGCAATGGAGCGATCCAAGCGACAGCTGGGCAGCGAGGCAGTGAAACATGCTTCCTTGCCCGAGTTCAACAACCGAAAATAGCCGTATAAAAACTGAAACCTTTCTCTATGGTGTATAGGGGTATGGCAGATGCATTCCTGTTCACTTAAAAAACTCAGAAGCGACACTCTTCTGGAATTTCGACTTTGGGGGTGCTCGATTCTTCGCTCTAGAGGCTCAAAGCTCAAAGATCTTCGGGGTCGTGAAAGTGCGAACATGCGGCTGGAAGATGGAGCTACAAACCGGGACCCCATGCAGGATGCACGAAGCCGGAAAGGAGGCATGGATGCTCACAGGTGGTAAAGTGGGGAAGTTTGGCAGCAACTCCCACGCAGTCGAAGCAGTTGACTCATCCCCGGATTTTTTTGAAAAAGCTCCCCTTCTCAAGTACATCCAAGTGGGTCCCGGCTGTTTGGCACGACAACTTTAAGCTCGGACATGATGGTGCTGTGCGACAACTTGCAGCTCTGCGACCAAGACAGCACCCTGGCTGTAAGGTGGAAATGAACGACAACACGCTCCAACGGAAGGTCAAGTACAGGCTGTGGAGCGCCACTTCCGTAGCTGCCAAGCGGACAAAGCCACAATTTTCACCGCCGACGGGCTAGTCGCGGACGGTGCCAGATCACAAAGAAGCGCCATGGCCTGTCCTGCAAGCTACGAACCAAGCCTTGCTACGATGAAAGTGCAGAAACTGGAAGACTTCCAACTCCCGCAAGGTGGTGATGACCAGGCTTCCAAAGAAGAAAGCAGGGCAATGCTTTGTTTATCAACTGATTCCTAGCACGAGGGTGAGCGTCTTGAGTACTCTTTCCAGCGACTTATGGCCATCTACCTCCCGACTCGGCTATGATCGACCGGCCGGCTGAGTTCCAGCGCCTACTGGATTCCTGGCCACCCAGAGCTCCCATCGAACGGACACAGGGAGCGACCGTCGACATACGTCGTTGGGTCTGCCGCCACCGGTAAGCTTCGATGTGTAGATCCGCTTGCCTGGATTTAGCCCACATGCTTTTGATGGAATTGAGCTGTGAAGCGTCTGATACTTGTCGACTGGAGGAGGTGATGTGGCTTGCATCAATGGCCTCCTCACTCTCTTTTGCCCGATTGCCATTGGACTTTGGACTTCTGGACTTTCGTGTGCACGATCCATTGGTAACAAGGTTACGGGGACTGTCCGTTGTCGGACGCCACGAGAACGGCAGTCGGAGTTCTTGGGATTGGTGCTCCTCCCGTTGTTTTTTGGCGTGGGCGGGCCTCGTCGGCTACGGCTGTAGCACTCGGTCCCTTCAAACAAACAAACACGAACAAGCAACCAAAACAGCGGTGAAACAAAGAGGGAAAACAAGCGAGTGCGGCATTGAAAGTTTAAACCTTTATACCAGTATACTTCTTATAATCACGGCGCGAGCTCTGCACACTTTTCCTATCCGAAGCTCCGCTGTTGGGCCGTGCTTGAGCCTTGGTTTGACCTGCGGTGAAACACTGGATTCCTGTATGTTTCTGTACATAGGGGAAAATTGAACTATCTGCTACGCCCTCATCGCATACACAGCTTTGTCGTGTAATGCGATCATTGTGAAACTTTTCCTACATCCACCACGGTTTTCGCATGCTCCTGTGAGCTTTAACTTTCACTTTTCGCACGCTTTTCAGCACTTTTAACCGTCTTTGGCTTCTTCTTTCCTTCTTCAGCTTTGTGGATGTCCTAGACATGGTTTGCGTGAAATCCACACTCTGCTGGCATGGCTTCCACTGTCCTATTGAAAAACTCGGGCGGCGCTCACTATTTTCCACGTCGCGGCCGTTGCTGTAGTCCGCAACTCTCGCCCATTGGCGCTTTCAGAAACTTTCGGCATTTTCAGCCTTGGCTTCTTTCGTAGTGCTCGTTGTGACTTTTGTCGTGTGCATAGGAGCCGTTTACGCGGTCTCCTTTTAGCATCTTGAAACACATGTGGCTTTTGGCTTGCCACTTCTCTGCCTTGGACTTTCGTCCTCACTCTTTTCGCATTCCTTTCTCACAGGCTTTTCAGCGATGTGAGACTCAAAAGAAAATGCTGCTGGGCTTTTTCCGCCCTCACTCATCTTTGACCTTTAAACCGCAACCTGCATATGTCCGGCTTTAGATCAATTCCTCTTCCTCGTCTCGGTCCTTTTTTTCTTTGCAGCTTCCTCTTGCTCGAAGCTGGAATCTTGCTTCCTCTTCTTCTTTGTGCCTTTGTCCTTGCTGTCCTTGGACTTATCGGCCTTCTTCTTCTTATTCTTTTCATCCTTTTCATCCTTTTTCTTTTCAGCAATTGTCTTCTTCGGCTTCATCGTCTCTGTACCCCAACTGCTCTGTGGTGGGTAACCACTTGCATACTTTTCAGCTTCCTTCATCTCTTTGAGCTCATCAGGAAACTTGTTGGGATTGCTCCGAATGTAATCTTCAGCATCACTCTTCTGATAACAAATATCTGGACTGTGCGTTCCCCATCCTTTGTATTGATACTCTTTGTTCCTGCAATAGGTGTACACAATCCAACAATACTTGCAGAAAATCTTTCTTGCTTCATTGTCCTTCCTTGGCTTTGGCGCTTCCGGGCAATACCGGTCGATAGCCTTGAACATCTCCGGGCACTCCGGTGCTTTGTGACCATCACTTCTATTACAGTAGAAACAATGAAGATACTTTGCTCCTTGCTTGAGCCATCTTTCATTCACGTTCTTCAGCTCTTTACTTGGCCGCTCTCCTGCAGGTTCACTCGGCTTCATATGCCCGAGATCCACCTTCCTTTCTATCTCCTCATCAGGGATCTCCTTGAACTTCTGCTTCAACTTCTTCCTAAGCTCTCGTTGCTTCTGCAGTGTATCTGCAGCTTTGATCTCTTCTTCTTCTCTTCTGGCCTTCTTGAACTTTTCCGGCAACTTCTTCGGTTGTGGCTTTACCGGCGTTCCTTTAACCGAATCCTTGGCCGAAGATACCGACGGCGTCGCGGGGTTACTTCCTTCTCTCTTCCGCTTGATGTTCGCCATCAGCTGGGCCAATGCTTCCCTTTCCTTTGTTTTCTTTTCTTCCGGCTGCTTGTACAGGTCCAACTCGAATTCTTCACTCATTGTCTTCAGCACTCTATCAGCTGTCTGAACCATTTCACCAAACTTCTGCAATGCTTCTCTCGCAACCATTGCACTTTTAACGTCTGCTCGTGCACCTGTGACGTCTTCCTCCTTTGCTCTGACGATTTTCACCCTTTCTTCCAGCCGTTCTTCCATCTCTTTCTTCAGCTCCTTCTCGAACTTTTCCAAGTCCTTTTGAGCTTCTTTGAACTCTTTCTCTGCATTTGCTTCATCCTCCATCATGATCGATATGCTCTCACCGTAATCACCGACTTCTCCATCAAGCTTGGAAAGCAAATCACTTGTCTTGATTCCAAAACCTGTCGGCAACTTTGCAACTGGCTTTCGGACTGTCTCAGACCACTTGATAAACTCACGCTCGAGGTCTTTACTTGGCAGGTTCTTCTGGATGCTTTGTAAATTGACATCATTTGATACCGTCTGCCAAATTGCCATTTCATCCACATCGAACTCGTCCTTCAACGCCTTCCTTGCTCTCTTTTCCTCTTCGCCTGAGGATTCAACCAATTCCCTCTCTGGGTCTTGCTTCTCTGGATCTTGCTTGTCCTCCTTGATCTCTTCGTTCTCATCTTTCTTCTCTTTCTTCTCTTCCTTCTCCGCGGGACTGCCAGACCCTACTTCTGCTGCACTTGCGACTTGGTTCGCCGCTGATACCACGTTTTGTCTCCTTTCCTTAGCTTCTTCTCCTATCTCTCTGAGCTCTTTCAATCGCTTGTCCATGACCTTTCCTTGCTCGATGATTCCTGCCCTGATCTCTTCCGATAAGACGACCTTCTCTGACGCTAGGGCTTCGACTTTTTCCTTCCTTGCACTCTCGAGCTCTTCTTGCTCCTTTTCCAGCTCTTCAGCTGTCTTCTTGAAGCTTTCCACAACTTCATCTCTTTTTCTTTCCTTCTTCTTTCCTTTCTCATGTTCATCATCTTCTTCTGACTCGCTTTCTCTTGACTCTTCTTCATCAGATTCTGGATCGGACGCAGCTTCACTTTCTTCCTTCTTCTTTGGCTGCTTCTCTTCCTTCTCTGCCTCTTCATCTGTAGCTTTGTCTTCTCTATCCTCGTTCAACGCCTCTACAAGCTTCCAGACTTCATCCACTGAGGGCCTGTCTTCTCTCCTTTGCTTTAGAAGACGCTCTATGTTCTGCATCGATTTGATGCTTTTGCACTTGTCAGCCATAACGACTTTCAAACCGTCATCGTCAGCCATTGCTTTGGCTTTCTCTTCTCTTCTGTCTTTTCCAAAGAGGTA